CGTGAACAAATCCAGAGTTTCATATTGCCGGGCAAGATCAACCTGCCAAAGTGAAAATATAGAAGTCATGTACTTCTAGATCTGGATTCCGAAATCCCTTGAGAAACCATGCTTTCGGTGAGATCATTCTGATATGCAATATTTAAGATTTCAGGAAACCCACAAATGCATGTGTTTTGGAGGACATCAGGTAAAAAGTAGAAGCTGAATATAAAAAGGTAAAATATCATGTACCAGTTTCTCAGCTGTTTTTGAAGTGTCTTTTCGGGAATGAACAAAAATCATTGCTTGATGACCTTGTTTAATTGAATCAACAACCTAACATGAAAAAATTACCAGATAGATAAGTGACCTGTCCAATTTCACATAAATAAAAAAGAGTCTTTGCTCGATATAGAGACCTTTTTGTAGCATATCTCATTTAACAATTCGTTTCTAGCAGCAAAGTTATGCTCAGTGATGCCTATGTATTGTTGAGCTAAGGGAACTGGGCGATAACTTGAATCAAAATAGAAGAGGCCAGTGTCTGGATTCACTCGTAAAAACTGAGCAACCTGGAATCCACCCAACAAAAAGGTTAAAAAGAAGTAATTTTGACCGATCCTAATTTCCTGAGACTAAAAAGGATATGTGAAGTAAAACATCGTGACAGAGATATAGATCATGTTGGGAAAGACCTGTAGGTAGCTAGGTAAAGTGGCTGACAGGCCTACAATTCTTATCATTGTCTGTGTTGACTCCACCTGATAAGCAAAGTAAAAGTCAGCCAGAAGGTAACCTGCTGCAACATAAGGAGTGAAATTACAATTCCAAGAATTACTTTAGGAGAACCAATTTTTCACGGCCAAGACGTACCTGACGGAGGGTCCGAGCAACTAACGCCTCTATCACTGCACCTCTATCATCATTCAGAAGATGCACTTCATCAATGATCAATAGTTTTACTAGCATTGACAATGACATGTCACTGCTTTTGCGAGTAATGACATCCCATTTCTCTGGTGTTGTCACTATCATCTGATTCAGAATTGATAAATAATCGGTATATATCAGTTCCTACATGTCTCCACAAGAAACTTAAGCATATCTTATAAGCTCAAATGAAACCTGAGTTTCTTCAAGTTCACTCTTCGTGAGTTGCATATCCCCTGTAAGCTCCTTCACAACCATATTTAATGGAGCTAGACGACGGCTAAATGCTGACGTGACCTCTGCTGCCAACGCCTACAAAGAACAAAATAGTAAAATAAAATATTTACAACAAAAGTCATCCATAAGATTATATTAACCTGGTTTTACCTTCATAGGAGCTACATAAACAATCTTAAACTCGTTTTTGTGCAAGTAGCCATCCCTGAAGTGTTGTTTGATCTGCAAGATAATTTCAAAAATATCTATGTGTAAAATATGAAATAATTCAGTGTGATTAAACAATAAATCACCTTTTCTACAACATAAACCACATTTCACAAAAAATACTCATGCTCTTCGTAAAGTAAATATCAACTCTTTCCAGCACGGTCTGTGATTAAAAACAGCTTCAGAAAAGAAAAAAATCAAACCAGGTAAATTAAAAACTTACCTCATGTAGAACAGAAATCATAGCTATATTTGTTTTACCAGCTCCTGTTGGAGCACAGACCTGCAAAGTGCAGAATAATGTTATGCTTGACTAGGTAATTGGCATTGTAGCTCGGTATGGACAAAAGTTATTCATATGACTCACCAATATATTCTCATTGGTGTGGTAAACTGTCTGAAATATGCGACTCTGAATACGGTTTAAAGACTTGTAACCATGAAAAGCAGCTTGAGCAAAGTCATCTAACTCTTTTATCTCAATCTAGAAACAAGCAAGAATTTAGAGTTAAGAGTGCATGCAATCTGGCAGAAAAAGCTACAATACCATCTATATCAGAAACTCATTCAAATGTGTGGAGAAACACTTGACGATAACTTCTCAGCATGAAAAAATTGTCATTTAAAGAAATTTTCATCTGCCTCTGGATATGGATGAGACGTACCAGCTTCTCGCCAGGTTTCATTTGTGCAGTAGGGGTTGGCGGGATAAATACTTCCTCATATCCTTTTAAGTGCTTCCTTACGGTACCTTGGGGAAGGGCAAGTGCAAGAGAATTCGCTTCTCCAGACCCAATCAGATCCTCAAATGCAGTTTTCTTTTCACTTGCCTCAAGTAAAGAAGAAAAATTGGCCTCTGATATTTCACTCTCTAAACCAAGATCAGCATTTCGTTTATTTTTCTTTTCCTCCTTACGCCGAAGTTTTTCGATTTGCTTTGCAGACTCTGTTTGAACAGTAACCTGAAAGGTAGCTGAGTGCAATCATTACTGTGGCTACAGAAAAGGAATGGTGCCCAACATCACAAGGCAAGGCCTCACGCAAATAGCAGTACCTGTGTGCCATAGGTAGGCATCCGAGATTGGGTGTTTGAAGCTGTTTTGTCAGACTTGAGAATCATTTGGCCATGATGGATAGCATCAACAATTTCTTTCCGATGCTGAAAAAGGGAATAAACAAGACACCATACACATCTCTAAGAGACTAAAAAGAAGAATATAACTTTAGTATAGACCTAAGTAAAAACTATTTTACTATACATAGGCATACCCATATACCATAAGGTCGGCTTAAAAGATGGTGATTTCATCCAAAAAACATAAAACACAGTTATGCGTGCCACTTAAACGTAACGGTAGCCCATGAGGAAAGCATACTATACTGTAGAATCTAACGCAAATCAGGCACAAAGTATCACCACAGGTCAGTAGACTTCAGATAAAAGAGCAATATCAAATTTAGGCCTTACCATGATAAGGTCTTGAACAGTCTCAAATGCACCATCCCCAACAAGATCCAGTAGATCCCCAGCTATCTGTAGAACAAATATTTAAATCTCATCTACTTTCACTTGCAAATATGATGCTCTAGGAACAGGTATAGTCGGTCCAAAAATAACATACCTCCTCACCGGGTTTATCCGAATCCAGAAATCTGCATATAGCCATAGCTAGTTCTTCACGGGAAAGTTGTGAACTGGTTTCTCTAACCATCTGACCACATGCATCTCTTAGCCAACTTAAATTGAATTTTCCTGCACTGAGATTATTTTTCGTGTCGCTAACATCACTCCATCCTTCAGAAAACGATGCATGAGCAACATTGCTTTCCACATCCAGAAATCCTTTTTCGTCAAGAGATGCTTCTACCAAAAAACGAGCTGGTAGATTGAAAACAAGGTCGGCACCAAACTCAGCTCCCTCATTAACTTCATTAACATATGTCTCAGACTGATGAGTAGGCTGTATTGAGTAAAGTGCCTGAGCTAAGGAGGCCACATTCTTTACATTAGCATCTGAGACAGCATGCCCGACAAGATTTTGCAACTCTAACCTGTTGAATATAAGCCAACCTAAATTACCTCTGAACACCCTAAAGAAATACAAAATCTTGGCCACTTTGATAAAGTAATCTTCAACAATCTTGCCTCAGCATGTTTGATAAATACGCCAATACATAAAACGAAAAAAAGAATTAGCAGTACTTACTTCTTTTCAGAAATGCTTTTATTATCATTGATCTCATTGTCCTCCTCCACTGGCTTGCCAAACAGACGATAAGCGGAGAAAGCAACCTCACGAAACTCATCTGATGGAACTTCCCGATCAATTAACTCCACTACAGCTCCAATAAACTGCTTGTATGCTTGTCGCACTTCTGGAGAAGCTGTCACACGAATTCCAATCAATATACACAAAACACCACCTCGTAGAGAGAAATTGGAAAAAAAAAAAACATATCATCATAAATCACCTCCTTCCCATTGATGAACTATCCTCTTAGCAAGGTCGGATTCATCAAGGCGATTCCCGGAGCTGAGATCGCAAACACAAATAACACAATTGTCCAATTCAATTCAAGTATTTACAAGAAAAAAAAAATACTTTGAGGCAATAACTTCAAAATGCTTTCCAAATTCTACATAGACATTGTGATCACCAGACTATACAACTATCAAATTCAATATAGAACCAAACAGATGCTAGAGAACTCACTGAAAACCTAGTAAACGAGTGGAATCGGTTCGGGAAGAAAAAACGGACCTGCGAGGCTTATTAAGAGTTTGGAGTATAGTTTTGCGGCGAAGGTAAGCCTGATCGATGTCGAATGGCTCTCTAAGAGAGCTTGTCAAGCGAGGAAGCTGAACTAACATGACAAAAATCCTGTAGTTGCGTCGTTTAGGCTTCTTCACCTCTGTGTTTTTCACCTCTGGTCGGCTCTCCGAGGAAGAAGGTAGAAGGCGTTCGCTAGCGTTCGAAACGGCGTCGCTTTGATACTTGGAAAGCAACTTTAATAGGACCCGTACACCGACCCGATAAAATACGGGTCCACCAAAACGACGGCGTTTCATTATTGCATAACAACAACATGTGGACCATGATTAAATTATTCTTTTTTTTCATCGGTAGAGAGTTTTTTTAATTAACAATTAGATTAAAAAAGACAAAAAAAATCTAAAAACTTTCATGTGATTATGTCAATTTTATAAAATTTACATGGCCAATACACAGTAAAACATAATATACACAATCGAACCCAGCATTAACAAGATTTTCTGATTCAGCTTTTTTCACATCTCATCCTGCAACACAAAAATTTGGCCTTTTACAATAAGTCATCTTAATTATACCAATAATACTACTATTTGTCTTTAATTCAAATCTCAAAATATACGTAGAAAAAAAGTCTACACGAGCTAAGTTCTTTAATGATGTAAAAAAAGCACTCAAAAGGGTTTTGAGAAGAGACAAGAAGACACAGAACAAGTAGCCACTCTCATCTCACCACCCTCTCTCTCTACTTGCTCTATCTCTCTCTGTGTCTCTCCACTCTCTCTTCTCTTCTTCTCTTCTTCTTGCTCTAGAGATCTCTTTCTCTATCTCCATCCCTTTTTTCTCTCTTTCTAGAAAGACAACAGTGACATTTTGTCTGAACGGCATCTATGGCTCCTCTGGTGCTTTCACTTCTCCTTCTAGCCATGGCTGGACATTCTAGTAAGAACTTTCACTCTTCTTCAGATTTATTAGCTAAGTCTTATCTCTTTCACTCTTAGTTAGTTCTTCTCTGAAGAAAAGTTCTTGTAGCACTCAAGGGTTTTACTGTTCTTGAGTGTTCTTCCATTGATAATGAGATTAAAAAAATAAATCTTTTTCTTTACAATCAATTGCTAAGTATACCATAGTTATTTCTTTGGTTGATTTTCCTTTCAAGAATCAAAAAAAAAAAATGTTTTTTGTTCTTGAAGTGTTTTTTTTTTCTTGGCATAGTTCACAAATTTCTAGAAAACTTTACTGATTTTTTTTTTCTTTTCTGATTTGCTTGTTGTCTCTCAACTTCGTACTTACTTTCTTTTTTACCCTATTGTTAGTTATTTGTAAATCTTTCCTTTTAAAGGTGATTCCAAGATTTGGGCAAATCTTGTTGGCTTCTCAGATTACAGAGTAAAGAAGATGCAGCTCTCTTTCTTCTAACGTTGGCTTTCTTGTGGTCATTGTAGGTGCGTCATGGTGCGTGTGTAAAACAGGACTGAGTGATACAGTGCTACAGGGAACCCTAGACTATGCTTGTGGAAATGGAGCAGATTGTAATCCTACTAAACCAAAACAATCTTGCTTCAATCCTGACAATGTTAGGTCTCATTGCAACTATGCAGTCAACAGCTACTTCCAAAAGAAGGGTCAATCTCCTGGCTCTTGTAATTTCGATGGCACTGCCACTCCCACTAACTCCGATCCCAGTTAGTCTCTCTCAACCATCCTCATTTTTGCATTTCTCTCAATTTTGATATACAATGTGTTTTTACTACATTTGAAACTTTAAGTGCTTTTTTGGAGTGATTCATGTGGTATTGTTGATAGTTACAGAAAGTTGAAGGCTTTTGTTTTTGTCACTATTGAATGACTTTGGTATTCAAGATTCTAAGACAAAATGGATACGCCAAATGCATAATAAAGACTATATATTTCCTGCTTCAAGTTTGTGGATAATAATCAATGTCTTAACATTTTCTGCGTTTGTTTTTTACAGGTTATACAGGGTGTACCTTTCCTACTAGTGCCAGGTATGCTTCTGATTCTAATGGCTTTATCAAGAAATCGAAAGAAACGTTTTGCATTTTATGGAACCAAAACCAAGAATTTGATCAACTTGTTTTCTATATTTGTGGCAAAGAGAAAAAGTAGATTAAAGTTTGATTTGGGCCCCAAATTTACAACTTTTTTGTTTTTGTTTACTTCTGTTGTAATAGAGATATCATCATTCACATCAATTTAAAATAGAAAACAGCATCATTAATATTACTTAAATAGACTAAAGGAAATAGAATAAATAATTAATGAAAATTGTTGTGAACAGTCAATTACTTCTTCTTATTTTAAGACCCTTTGAACTGTAAGTGTTCAACGTGAACCAAAAAGTACTCACTTTCCTTTATTTCTTTAACCAAACTTTTGATCATATCTATAATCAAATCAAATGCTTTATTGGATTACAGTTTGAACGCATGATCATGTTCTTGACTGATATGGCCGTATTAAGCAATGGTACTCTAAATCGTTAATATTTTGGACCCATCAAGGACACTTTAGTGAATAGAAACTGAGATTCTTCTTTTTGTTAGTGCTTTTGAGCAGAGAATATGAATTTGCTTTGAAAATTTTCCATTAGATCAATCTCTTTCATCAAGACTTGGTCTGGTTTTGGACCAAAACCATAAGTGGTTGTTTCTTGTCTGATATACTCTTATTTTCTTCCAGTGGCTCTAGCGGCAGCACGACTGTGACACCTGGCACAACCAATCCGAAAGGCAGCTCAAGCACCACCACACTTCCTGGTAGTGGCACCAACAGTCCTTACTCAGGGAACCCAACCAATGGAGTTTTTGGGGGCAATAGCACAGGAGGCACCACTGGGACAGGGATTAATCCGGATTACACGACAGAAAGCAGCGCGTTTGCTCTCAAGAACTCAAGCAAATTGTTCGTCTGCCTTCTCTTGGTTGCTTCGAGTGGATTCTGTTCTTTCTTGATGCTCTAAGGTGGTTAATGGTCTCTGGTTTTGTGGGTGCACTTAGTTATTGTCTCAAGGACACTGGTCTAGTTTAGTGGTAATCTCTGTCTCTGTGTTATGCCCTTATGGGTCTATCTTATGTTTTTTGTTGTAAGAAGATTTCAGCTCTTGCATTTAATCTTACCTCTTGACTGCTCTGGTAGATTTGATGCCAGTGAAAAATTTTATATATAAATTATCTTGTCTCTGGACTAGAGTTTTATTAAAACCAAATTAACGGCTATTTTTATTATCCAAAGACTTGCAATATTGTTAAGCCAAACAAAAATTCTTGTGGCATATATTCCGGTAGAAATCTTAATTGTGAAGTTGTTTTTTCAAAAGATACATTTATGTAGCTATATCTCTGAAATTTAAATATTTGTTCACTATTTTATTACATAAATTACACTCAAATGAATTTATATTTGTCCTGAAAATACGAATTTGTTTACTAACCATCATATTCAAATCCCACGTCATTTTGTTACTTCTTTATAACATTCTGTTTGGTTCAACTTCGTTATTGGTGGAGCTATTTGGTTCAACTTCTTCATATTCAAATCCACGTCATTTTGTGCTTCAACTTCTTCATATACTAGAAAGTTGCCCACGCGATGCGTGGGGTATGCATTCAGTTATTTTGTATACAGATCGAAGTTTACATAAAATAATATATGGAAAGTACATTTGTATTGTTATTATGTTTTGAAAATAATTTAAATATATTCAATTTTTGAAGTATTTTTGTGAATAACTAATAAAATAAAATTTATTCTTTTTTCTTTAAAACATTATATAATAAAAAAAAATTTAATATATACCACAATTTTTTTTTGTGATAATACATCTATTACCAATTGTCTCGAAATAATAGATCAAATTCTACTGTTCATTGATAAAAATAATAACCTACACACTTAGTTTGTTTGGATTAAGTGTTGTTGATATATTTTTTTCTACATAAGTTTTATATTAAATGTTGAAAAATTAGTAGATAAATTCCATGCAAGCACTTAAAACATATGAAATTTTGATATTATTTACCATTTTTTTTGTCAACAGCTTAAATTAAAGCTCAAAAGAACCATTCCTGGGAATGTTGTTTAAATATGTGATATGAAGCGGTTCGGTACGAACTTGTCGAGCCAATTTATCTACTTTTACATTTGAGCTATGAGGAATTAAAGATAGAGAAAAGGTTGAAAATTCTTTCCTGTCACTCTGAAAGTCCTCCAGATACACTGAAAAAGCCGCCATTCGGTTGGAAAAGACACCATCTTCACCAAATCTGAACAGTCTGTAAAGAAAGCTACATCTTGGTTGTCAGCACCAATCATATACTTCATCGCCCAAAGAAGAGCTTCGACTTCTGTATGTAGAGGAGATAGACTTCTACGGATGTTGGCAACTCCCATGGTTAGACATCTCTCCATTTGATGATGTACAATACCATCATGTTCCTGAAAAAGTATCGGTTCCTTTCCATGATCCATCTATGAAACAACGATATCCTGAATAAACAGTGATATTTCCCTCACTCGGTTTCGATTTTCATTATCTAAAAAACCATGGTTATAAGTATGAAGCTCATTTTGAGCTAGCTGCCACGATTGCGCCTCTTTCTCCGCTAAATGTAAGACCTCTAATGGATCTTTATCCACATTGTCAAAGATCTTTTGATTCCTTGCTTTCCAAATGTACCAAATTATCCATGGATAAGAAGATGATTCTACCTCTGAAGGTATTCTCCAAAATAGGTGATCCAAGTTCTCGTAAATAGAAGCCGCAGAGAAAATCCCCGGGACCGAAGGAATTTGAGAAAGAGCCCAAATTTGTCTCGCTGGATGGCATTCAAAAAGTATATGGTTAACTGTTTCCTCTATGGTACCACATTTAACACATCCGGTATCACAATTTATACTTCTCTTTCGCAGATTCTCCGTAACCAGTAGACAACCTGATAAAATTTGCCACAAAAAATACCGTAGCTTAGGTGGACACTGCGCCTTCCAAGCATATGCTTTTAGAGGTTTTATATTCGGGCCAAAAGATTATGAACAGACATCCAAATCCTCTATCCGAGTCGTATGGTAACCAGATTTAACCGTATATTTTACAGATTTAGTGTAATGCCAACCAAGGGTATCCTCTTTGGTTGACGCACCCAAAGGCAAGACACTAATCAGCGCGACATCTTCAGGATCAAAGAGCTCCCTCAAGAGATCCATGTTCCAAAAATTTTACCGGGTGTCGACAAGGCTATTAACTTTCAAAGATGGGTTAATAATTGAACCATTACTTTTTGCTGGTCTCGGGAATTGAGCTGGTATCTATGGATCCTCCCAAACTGAGATGGACGCCCCAGAACCGACTCTTTTAATAACCAGAGATCTAACTGACAATATACTTCTCCAACCATAAGAAAGAGAGTATGATTTTATATTATCCAATGGATTGGATTTCCAAAAATACCGTCCTTTAAAAACCTTGCAAAAAGTGAATCAGGAACCGTAATCAAACGCCATAATTATTTTGTTAGTAACGCCGAGTTAAAATCATCTACATTCCGAAATCCTACACCACCTTCCGTTTTACTACTACACAGCTTATTCCAAGCCATCCAGTGCATTTCTTTCGACTCGCCATTAGAACTCCACCAAAACTTAGCAACCGCACTTAGGAGATCAAAGTTCAAACATCATCAAATTGTATTGTTTTCCTAATTTAAATCTATATATACTGTTAAAATATAATAGAAAAATATATCCATTATATAACCTTCTATTTACAAAGTAGTTTGATCCTTCAATTTTAATATGTCATTATTTTATATCTAAACAAAATTATATAATGTGAAAGGATTGGTTCTTTTAACACATTATAACACGTGTAAAACAAAAAAGTTCATGGAGGCAAGTTGAAAAGCACCATAAAGAAGAAAATAAAAAGTAGGTTAAGTGTCTCAGAATTTTTCTCCGAAAGATTTTGAATTTTGATTTTGGTTTTGTTTTACTTATAGCAAAAAAAAATATGATAACATAAATTGAATAGATAAATTCTTATGTTATTATAATAAATTATATATGTTTATTTAAGAAGCCTACATATTTTATTGTTATCTTTTAATTTCTGAAAGTGTATTTTACAATAACCAAAAAAATAGAAAATATAAAACGGCTAAATTTCATATATCATGTAAACTTAGATCAAGTTTTTCTTGTCGCTATGTCTCAACGATTTAGTAATCTATGTCATATTTGACTAATTTAATTTCTATTAACAAAATATCCTTTTGAAAATTAAAATAAATTATTGAGTTTTTTCATATTTAATTAATTAATAATATAATGTTAATCAGGAACTGTGGTACAAATTAATTATTTAAACTATTTTTTATTGAAACATACATAAACCAATAGATATATCGAAAATATAGGTGATTGAATACAATTTTTTTTTCTTTTAAATAAAAATATAATCATTTGAATTTTTAAAGATTTTACTTTACTCATGTGCATTATCTTTCAAAGTAGTAAAACATTTCTCACCTTTTTTATTACAACTTTTTTTTTTTATCTTCTATGATTCACTCATCGTCTCCCAACATCTATTCTCTTTTTACCTTATATTGGCTTATATATAATATACTCGAATATAAATTAGTTTTCAAGATAGTTTATATCTATTTTCTCCTTCATATCTTTCAATTCTCAATCTTTTTTATATGTTGCATTATCTTTTTATTAAAGTGAACATTAGATCATAAGGTTTCTTTGACCATGTTTTGGTGCATGTAAATTGATTTTAAATATACGAAATGTTGGAGTAATTATTTAAAATGTAGGCAAGTTAAATATCATTAAAAGATAATTTATACAATGTATACTCGGAGTGTGAATCCGCAAATCTCAGCGACAAAAAATTGTGAATCCGCAAATTTCCCGCCAAAAACCTAAACTTGTAACTTTTTTGCTAAAAATGTAAATCCGTGATTTTCCCACCAAATGATGATGAATATTGTTGTTTTTATATTGATTATTAATTAATTTATTATTTTAATGGATCAACTATTAACTCATTTAACTGTAAACTCATTAGATAATGAGTTGAGTTAGGGGCTAGGTTACCCATTTTGACACCCCTATATACGCATTAATCTGTTTATTAATAACATGATGTTAAATATTTATTTTAAAGTGCAAAAATAAAACAATATAAGACAATATGGCACATATTGCTAAAAACAAATATATTAGAACATCTTATATATGTTAATTTCAACTTTAAAAAGATAGTAAAATATGTTTTTATATATATAATCTCGTAGTAATTATTGAAACTGCTAAAACTATTAAATATATATTTTCTGCAATTTATACCACATTAATAAATAAAAAATTCATAATAACTTATCTTAAAGAAAGAAGAAATAAAATTTGGCACATGTGTAGACTATGTTTTCATAGTAATTTATTTTATTATATGTGTAGCATGTAGGATATCTTTTTAGAAAAATTTATATGAGATTCGGAATTCTAATAAGTGATTATGAAAAACTGAGTAGCTATTTAAATAGCTCACAATTCATAATCATATATAAATATATGAAAATAGAGGGTGTTATTGTGTTAATCTTATGTTGATGAAATACATGATAGTAAATTAGTATTTAAATGTAACATTAGAAAATGCATAAATTATTAATTATAATTATGGGAGTTACATGCATTGAATGGAGAAAATATATCATACAATTTATATTATTTAGGTTACAATTTAGTATTAAAGGGTTGATTAATGTATATGATTAAATGGGTTATATTTGTTGTTTGATTAGGGATAAATAAAGCCAATTTTATTAAATAGCATATGAATTACAGTTATATTTTAAGGAATTAAATATGATAATATACAATTAGAATTTATTGATAGTTTTGTAAAAATATAATTTTAATACTATTAATATTTATGTTTGAAAAAAAAACATTTATGTTTGAAAAACTATATGCCATGTCGTTCTCTCTTGAATGATCTCCAAACCAATTGTTGGGTTGGGTTGTTCGTGAATAGACTCAAGAATTTGAACCACCCATCTATACAATAATTTTTACACTGTAAAAAAAATAAAACTATATTATTTTTAACTATACTTCATATCCATTGTCAAACTATCTATTTTTGAATAGACTCTTTTCATTCCCATTTTTTTTTGTGCAATAAATTTTTCATTAATAACTATAAACGAAAGATAGATAATCAAATTTTTGTGCGTTGGAAACAATATAAAAATAAACAAACACAAACTAAACCTGGAAAGAATGACATCTTACCTCGAATATTTTAACTGACTTTAAGATAGTCACCACCTTAACATATGACTTTCGAAAATATTAAAAAATATCCAGATCTACAAACATAACATAAGAAAGAACTGACAAAAAAAAAAAAAAGAATACGCAAAAAAAAAAGAGAAGATTAGAAACTATTAAGTGAATAGAAAAATGTTACAAAATTTGTGGGGCTTGAAATATGATGGTTAGTATTGAACATGTCGTACTATTTATAAAAAAATTATATTGTCAAAACAATAATAAATTGCTTTTAATATTATATATGTGAATAAAATTAATTGTAGTTTTAGCATCATGAGCTACGTTACATTTGTAGAATTAAATGTGTTATACAGTAATAGCATTTACCTTTGTATGTAGTCTACCTACATGCTAACGACAATGAAAGGTATTTGATTGAATATTAACTGTAGTTTTCAATTAGACATAAAATTAAGTATCACACGTTACAGCTTTGTCATTTTTGGGCTAACTTTTTTTTTGGTGTAATTTAAAGTGAGTTGTGTATTCTTTCTGAGTGATATATCAAAAATAATCCAAGGACACTTAATAATCTTTCTTATAATCCAAGGACACTTAATAATCTTTCTTAGCAGTTACATGTGTATTAATGTCATGGGAGTTTTTTCTGTGTGTTTTTGCCTTTTTGGTCAAATATGATGGGAGTTATGGTTACATTTTAAGGAATTAATATGCCAATAATTGGAATTAATGTTTAAACAAAACACATTTTCTTTCATGCATTTAAATAAACATATATAATTGATTATGTGATTAACATTATTTTATTTGGTATATTTTGAATAATTTCTTGTTTATGAGATTTCAATTCTTGAATTCCAATATTTTTGATTATTTTTGCATTTAAACTTTTTATATATTTTAATTGGTGTATATATATATATATAAATGTAGGGATATTAAAGAAGTGGTATGAAAGAAAATTTTCCCTATTAAATGTCATAATAAAAAAAAATATGTGCCACATGTCGTAAGAAGAAAGTGACAAATGTCGTGATAATAGAGCTCCTTACAGAAAAACCTTGTCATATTATATAAGATGTCATTTTGTTGCTAAGTAAACGTGGAGATTTCAATCCATGTCTTATACACTCAAAAACGTATACAGCATCATACATCAGTTATCTATTGTCACAAAACCATAACACTAACTAGGATAACTTAAAGTTAGCAGCACTACTGCACTACATATACTGTATAGTTCATTTAACTGTTGAATAAATTTGATGCTACTAAATCTTACCTTATGTTACTCAAAAACATTCAACACTAATCATAGTATAAAATTACAAATCATATTTTATTCATTTAAAATATTTTCTATATAAATTATTCATTTGAAATGTTTAAAAAATAGTTAAAAATTTGATAGTCAATATATCTTACAGACTTTCACCTCATTGGTGGTTATGGTGACTTACACGCACCGGTTGTGACGCATGACTAACTATATTATTCTGTTTATTTCACCGTATGTTCCACCGTCACCACTCACCACCATTCCAATTTCTTTTACATAGATGATAATGTAGTATAAAGAGATTATATAAAATCTTTTTTATAGCTGCCAACAAAAAATATGTATTTATTGCTGTAAATTTGAATAGAAGAAAAGACAAATTTGTTCAATGATACATTATTTTGGAGGAGTAAATAAGAAGAAAAATAGAGAAAAAAGAAAAATCACATTAGAAGGAAAAAATAATACTATCTAATTTTTTAAAAATAGAAGAATTCTTCTGTTTTAATTAATTGGTGACATTTTCAGGGAAAAAAAAATCTTCCAATTTTTTCGTTTGGTACATATAAAGAAAAAATCAATTCTTCTTATTTTTTTCTTTTATTAGAGTTAACTAGTCACACTCTAAAACTCATATAATAATGTATATTTAATTTTATTAGCTGTCAATCACAGATGAAATGACATTTTGGGCTGTCAAAAAGAAATAGACGAAATGACATTTAGGGAATAAATTACAAAAATTGTAACCTATGAAGGTAAGTTAAAATAGTGAAAAAGTTGAGACAGTAGTAAAGACTGACGAAGACATTCGTCGATAAGCGTGCAGATAAATTAGGGGTTATTACGTAGATTTTAAGAAATAAAGGGTCCTTTTTGATATTTAATTTAAAGTTATGGGGGCATATTGCAATATTTACTTCTTAAAACATTTCTTCTTCCGTGTGAATGTGACTGATTCCCCCACTCTCTCTCTTACTGGTCCCTCAAGCTCCACCACCTTCCCCACATTTCTTCCCCATTCTCTCTCTAAAACCTTTTTTTTTTCTCAGCTAAAAATCGAAACTTTCCAACGAGTTTTCAACATTAGGGCTTCATACGACAAGAAGCATTACCGTAGTATGGTATGTTGCAGCTCCATCTCTGTTTTTTTTTACCATCGTCTGCTCTGTTTTCGTAGCTTTCTTCTTGGTTTTCTTATACCATTTTTGCTCATTTGGTTCCGTAATTCACAAGCAAGGGTGTTTCAGATCTTTATCTGGGGATTTTATGAAAGTTTGGTTCTTCATTGGAAGAGCTGATTTTCGGGTGTATCTGCATTTTTGTATCACGCGTTTTGTACTGTACTGAAAATGGGTTTTTGGAGCTGTGTAGGGTTTTTAATTTAGGGTTTCTACTTTTGGAACCTTTTACTAACTTGCAATTTCAATGAGAATCCTTGGCTTTCGCAGCTTCGCTGATTACTTGTTTTCGATTGTTTTTATTATTGAAGTGTTGTCAGATGCTTTTTTGACATGAGTTCTGGCTTGATCCTGGACTTTTCTTTGATTTGAGCTGAAATCATGTTTCGCATCAATGTCTTGTTCAATGATTTTTTGTTCTGAGTGAGCTTTCCTCTCTTGTTTGAACTACTCAGGTTTGATTGTGAAGTCAATTAAAAGATGTTCTTTTTGACATGAGATATGGCTGGATTGAATCTATCAAAGGTAATCATGACTTCTCTTTGAGGAGTTGTAAAATCATTTTTGCTTTACTCTCTTGACCAGTGAGTTTCCTTTTAGAGTCTCTTGTTTGAAATACTTGAGTTAGTCTTAGTGTACATGTTTATACATCACATTTGGCCAGTGATCTGAGCTAGTTGGATTGACTATACGTTTACCTGAGGTAGCGAGTCTTTACATTGTTTCCTTTAAAGGACAAACAATGGAACAAATAATTAGAATGGTTAAGGAATCAAGAACTAGCCCTTAACTACCTCAAGGGTTAGTCCTAGACAGTAGTTGACGAAGAACGATAGAGAAAAATGTCTGCATACCCATATCGTTATGTCCTATTTATATGACTCCTGATCATTGTCTTTAGGTTGTATTGATGTGTTCTACGCTTGTCTTTTCTGTTGCTTTACACTAATCACATGTATGGAGTTACTACCATACATCTTTGTTTGCTTCCCAGGTTGGTGTTTACTTGCTGATGATTCTCTTTTACTGCAATTATTGTAGAGGTCAATTTGTGAAACATGTGGACATCAAGGATGGAAGGATTCACTTGTAACTTGCTCTAAATGCCGCATAGCCTGTGAACACTGGTGAGAAGTAATATCATATCTTATTAGTTTTGCTTAGGTAGTCAAATGAATCTTTTGATTGTCTTTAACTAATTATCTTTCAAATTTTTATCTCTGTTTTCCAGTTATTGCATGCGGGAGAATTCATTTGAGACCTCAACACATTTTGTCTGTGCTGATTGTTCGATGAGACCTGTTCAAAACAGATTTACTTCAGATTCTATCAAAGCAGTCCCTAGAAGTAATAGGAATAATGTGCGGGTGGAATCTTCAAATCCAGTTCCTAAATGGAAAAAAATTCCTGAAACGTCAAAGATGAAATTAATTTCACCAGAGGAAGTAAAAAAACTTTCATTTGGAGGCAGTACCAGTAAATCAACTTTCAGAGTACCAAGACCTGTTTCAGCTCGTCCTCCAATGGGTTTAACAAAACAAACTGTTGGCTTTCCAAGAGCTAGGAGTCTAAATTCTGCAGTGGTGGCTCGCAAAACCAATTCAAATCACCTTCCACCTAAAAAGGTTGAGCCTCTTAGTCCTCGTACTCAACAGATTCGTCCAGGAGTCATGAGACAAGCTTCTAAAGCACAAGCAGTAGGAGAAGGTGGAATATTTTGCTTCTCTCTCTCTTTTATCTTAATCTATTCCCTTTCTAAAGGCCTAAGATCCAATACTTCTTTTACTAGATGACTAATAACATATCTTGCTGATTTTTGAAAATTTTTTATTGGCTTTTCAAGGGTCAAAAACGAAAGTTGGTGATGGAGCTAAATATCATGGTACCAACGAGATATGCCGATCAATCTTATCAGAGAAATTGTTGCAATTACTTCCATATCGACCAGCTTTGCACCCCATCTGGAAGTGAGTTACTGATCACATCAGACAATATGTATTTTTTTGCTATCAAAATTTTTATGCTTCGGTCAGACCACTCTATAGTACTCCCACTAATTTCACAATTTCCACGAGTTATGTTTGTTCATATTACCTTTTTCTTTTCTCTCGTTGTGCTTAGCCTTATCTGCGATCTTAGAAAGGAAATCTCCTTAGTTTCTTTAGCATTAGGCATTGTTACATTGCTGAAAAGCCTGAAACTGAAGATGTGCATATTTTATATATCTTTCTCCCTCTATACCAGGGGACGCATTGTGGATTCTGCTACACCATCTGAGTTTAATGGCGAGTTCTTAGCTCAACCGGCATCTAAAGTCCGAGGGAAGGCTTATGTACTTTCAAAGGCGGTTCCTGTCTTACTCAAGGTCAAATTGGTTCCTATAGGCAATCTTCTGAGTGATTTGTTTATGAACAGAAAACCAGGGCTTTCAGATGTCGAGATGTACATTTTCCCATATGACAAGAACACAAAAAGGTACTCAAGCCACCTTCTCTGCAAAGGAAAAGCTTCTTGTTCATTGTTATTACAAAACTTACGATGAATGCAGGTTTACAGAGGAACGTGATCATCTCTTTGAAGCCATGAGGACTCGCAATGCCATGATCAAATTTAACATCAATGGCACACCATTGTTGATATTCTCTTCAAAACTACTGGACAAGTCCTCCCAGGGTAAGCCTAATGTATGCTTACAGATCTATCATTGGCTTCAAATATGAATAAAACTCGTTTTGTGTTTGCAGTTATCATCAAGATGCAAAAGAAAACAAATAACTTTCTTTGGGGGATTTTTCTCCTGACGAAAAAGTCTTTAGCACTTCTTCCAGGAACTTCCAATCAAACTCCCCAACATTTTGATGATGGAGATGTAGTTGACAATGACACTGAAGTAGGCTATTTCCTTCTTTCTCTAAATTAAAGACCCCCTATTTGTAGATTCAGTTTAGTTAGAGAGCATCATCATCGTAGCTTTAATAACAAGTCTCTTAAGTGGTTGTTCTTGTTCTCTGATGTAATGTGTTTGGCTTGTTTTTCATTGCCTCTGGTGGAATCAGCCTTTCTTTAGACGTACCAACCACCGGAATTCTGGGAAGCAATTGCAGAGACATTACAGGGAGAGGGATTGATCAATGTGGAGTGGCTGATGTTGTCTCTAGGAAATTGGTATATAGATTAGTGCTACTAATCTCTGATTGTGTTCTATATTGGTGTAAGAAGTAAAACTTTTACCTCCTGATTACTTGTAGATTTTTATGGGGTACTAAATAAAGGTAAATGGTAGACTTTGACAAAATCCCAAACTTATTCTATAAATATTTTAAGTTGGAAACGGTTTCGTTTTGAGTGTTATTTGAAAGAAAAAAAAAACACACACAAATAAATATGGATTATCATTTCCCCTGTATTTATTTATTAATCAATACTACCACAGATTCTGCAAATGAATTTGAACTTGGCTTTCGTATATAAGTAAAGCAAAGATTCAAGTTTGGGTTTCGAGAGAAGCAGCAAATAAAAATTTGTCTTCTCTCGTTGATAGAAAACAAAAAGAACTGTTTCTTCCATTTCAAGAAAACGATCAAAACCTGCAGGTTTCATTCAACGCCACTGAAGAAGACCCTTTGAGCGATAACTATGGCCGACGAAAGTGGATACGACGCTGGATCAGACGCTTCACTACCTTCTTCAGGGTCAGAGATAAGCTTTGTCGAGGTAAAAGCTAAACCCAATTTATTGGTCCGTTTTGCATTTACGACTACTTGCTTTTGGTTTATCTTCTTCTGATCAGAAATCATTGTGCGTCTTCTAGAGTTGTAGTCAGATTCTGAGAACACTTGTTCGTCTTTCTATCTTTCTGGGATTTATGTTTTCTTCGGTAGCAAGATTTGATGCCAATTCTTGAACTAGCAGAGACATTATTTCACCTAATCATTATCTTTACGTATAGATAAAGAAGCCTTGTGAAGTTTGCGGAAGTAATGCCAATGATGACGAGATAATGACATGCTTCTTCTGCAGAGATACTCGAGAACATATGTAAGATAAATTGTTCATCCTCTACTGTTTACAAAAGGATATTGATAATTTTCATTTTTTAAAATGTATATGCTTCAGTTATTGCTCGAGGGGGATGTTAGGATCTGTTCCTCCAATGTGGATGTGCGAGGAGTGCATTTCCTCAAGAATTAATCGAGTTGTGAATAACGAAGCTCCTATTGATCAAGCTGCTGCATCATCAAGAAGTACTTATCAAGTTGTTGATAGTGAAGTTGTTCATCAGAACATGACTTCTAGCGACTCTGGTAATCAAATCTCAGCGACTCATGATCAACCTTCACAGGCACATGCAAGTCCAGTAGGTAATGAAAACCAGTCTTTTTTAGCTTAAGTATGAATCAGTTTCTCTTCTCTGTTTTTGATATAAAATTAAGAAACTGATGTATTTTTTACTTTGTTTATCGATGTTATATAGCTGAAGAAGCTGTTGTGCCAATGGATACATCTTCAGGCGAGAATCAGAAGCCGCCCTCTGATTCGGAATCTGCAATCTAAAAATGCTTTCTTATCAGAGATGTTTTCGTAGCTTTAGCTTAACCATTGACAGAGAGATATGGATTTTGGGTTGTTTAAAGAAGCTTTTCTTTTTCTTGGGTCACAAGTCATTTTGATCGGACTTCATTGATCCTGATTTGACTCATGATCTCTCTTTGTAGTTTGTACAATCTTCTTTTGTTGCTTGAGTCATTGCTACTTTTAGCTATATGACTAATTTTTGTAGTTGTCACCAAAACATTGATTTATGCTTTGGAGAAAAGTTTATGGATATGTGATGCTATTGCCCTCTATTTTTTTACCATGTGGCAATTTTTTCATTAGATTACTAGTGTAATTTGTTTCTCAAAATTAGATACTAGTGTGTTTGTTTTTCACACAATTATTCTGTTTTTTTTTTACAATATCAAACAATTATTCTCATAACTTACAATAATTGTAAATTTAAAACACTTGAGAAAAATAAAAAATTATATTGGAGAAAAATACATGGTTAAGAAAAGCAGATATTCTTTTTTATTTTTTTGAATATATTTTCCATTAACATTAAATTTTGCTAAAGCTTTTTTTTAACATCTATAAAGCTTGTTTCTATAAATAAACGTGAGATTTAATTCCCTTTTTTTGTTTTGACAATATTAATTCCCAATTTTTTAAATAAGAGAATTTGAAAATTCGATTTCGTATATATGAAAAAAGAAAATCAATATTCAAGATTTGGGATTTGGGGAGAAGCAACAAAGAAGTGTTAATAAAATTTCGTCTTCGCTCTTTCAAGAACACAAAGAAAAAAAACTGATTCTTCAATTTCAAGAAAAAAGATCGAAAATTTGGTTTCAGTCGACGCCATTGAAGAACCTTTTGATTGATAACAATGGTCTACGAAAGTGGGTACAAGCCTGGATCAGAAAATCCGACATTTACTTCAGATTTAAGCCTTTCAAATTCCCTTTTAAAACTGGTAAATCACATCTTCGCTTGCAATTTATTGGTCTGGGTTTTCGATTTCATGAAACAAAATTGCATCTTTACTTGATTTTTCTTGAATCTGGTCTCTGTGTTATCAGAAATCAATGTGCGTCTTTTAGGGTTTCTTGATTTCTGAGTTTTTTTCTTTCTTTTTTTAATGTGTTAAATTGAAAATTAATTTCCTTCAATACCATGTCGTGTAATTAGCAAGATGCGAATTTTCTTTATACTGATCTATAATTTGCTTCATATATATATAGAAGAAGAAGCCTTGTGAAGTATGCGGAAGTGATGCCAATGAGCATTTGATGATGACTTGCTTCATGTGCAGAGATACTAGAGAGCATACGTAAGAAACTAATCAACACATTCAATTAGTTTTCTTTAATTACTGTTTAACACTCAATGATCTTAATCCTCTTTTTCTTTTGTGTGTGTGTGTGTGTGTGTCAGTTATTGCGCGAGGGTGATGTTACAACGTGTACCTCGTTTGTGGATTTGTGAAGAGTGCCGTGATTTCTCATCTATCGCCAACAAAACTGCTAATTCTCAAGTGGAAGAAGCTGCTCAACCATCAACAACTATTCAAGCGGAACAAGTTGTGGTTAAAGAAGTTTGTATTGATCAAACTGTTCCATCATCAAGAACTATTCAAGTTCCTGTTGATCAAACTACTCCCATCATCAAGAACTATTGTGGATAACGAAGATTTGATTGAAGCTGCTGCTCCATCATCAAGAACTAATCAAGTTGTTGATAACAAAGATTGGATTGAAGCTGCTGCTCCATCATTAAGATCTAATCATGTTGTGGAACAAGTTGTGCCTGTTGCTCCTCGTATTCATGAGTATACTACAGACGAATCAACTCCTGAATCATCCTCTCCGGTGTCTCCATGTTCGCTACGTGATGAAACCAATCTCTTTCACTTCAACTATCCTTCACTTTCTCTTCCTCCGTTGATGAAAAATTGAAGAAAACGATTTGTGTCTTTGGACTCATCAATGTCAGTGTTCAAGCCCATGTGGGAAAGATTTCCATTCCAACAACCACCACAAGACATTGACTCTGTCCTCTGATTCCGAATCTGAAGAGTAAATGCCCCATTTGAGAGAGATTCGTGTAGGGATTTAACCATTTAGGGTTCTTAAAGAGGCATTTGCTTTATATTTTCTTGTGTCACAAGTCATTTTGCTAGCTAAGTGAGATTAGACTAGTTTGATCGACATTTGGAGTCATATACTATATGACTCATGTACATAACTAAATTATTAAAGCTAGGAGTCAGAAAAGGTCTCAAAACCTTCTTTTTTTCCATCTAATTAAAAAGTTTAAAGTTTTTGGTTATGGCTCTACCCAAAATCGTACGAATCTCTTTATCTGAATCCCATTTATGAAAAATAGGCCATGAACACGAAGTTACCTAGAAAGATGATAGAGGTACTATGATGACAATATATGGACTCATTAATCGAGGCTACCAATTATAGTAAACCTTCTTCTAGCTTTTTCTGTATTGACATGACCCCTATTAAAAACTTCATTTATTTTTTTCTTTTTGTTAATAGGACTGCATTTCAAATTCTAGTACATCTTTATCTAATAAATTTCACTTACCCAAATCCAAGTTGCATAAATTTCACCCATTTTCTGAAGTTTAAAACGCCATAAAACATGTTGAAAATCAAGAGTGACACCCAAAAAATCCTAAACTATAGAGATGAGTTTTTTTTTTTTTGTATAGAAATGGTCAAAAACTTGCAATAAATCATGATCACTGATCAACCATATTATGGTTGAATTTTCCAATTAAAAAATACACTAAAACATTACCATAAAAGCTCAGACGTCTGAGTTATTATCTTCTCACTAGCACATGGGCTTTTTTGCAAACTTAAGAAAAGTTGGCACCTTTTTGATAATGATAGAATATAAGGAGTCTCTTTAAATTAAGTAAAAGATAAGGGGTGATATCGCCAATATCAATATTCTCAGAGACTCAGAAAAAGATGATTGTCGTCTTGCTAGTTTCCCCTCTCTTCCCTCACCTTCCGCTCCACTCTCTTTCTCTCTCCACAGTGTCTCTTCCTTTTTCTTCAACGTCACAAACTCACCGGCGGTTTAAATTTCACGGTAAGAAGTTGAATCGTTTGGTATCTGAAACCACATTCTGATTTTTCTCATCATCTCCCCTGCGTTCGTCGTCTATTCTCTCTTTGTATTGATCATTTACTCTCTTTGTATTCCGTACTACGCAAGCAAAAAAAAGTTGCAGATACTTTCTCTTTGATGATTTTCTGAAAGCTTCGCTCTTCGTTTTGAAGAAAAAACTAGTTGATTCTGTGTTTCGGTTTATCTGCATTCGTTGTCACGCGTTCCGTACCGTACTGTTCACCTGAGAAATGGGTTTTGTTAGGGTTTTGTAGGTTCCTTAATCTAGGGTTACGATTATGCAAATTATCTACAGTAAACATGGTTTTTGTTAAAGAATTGTTGGTTTTTAGCTTGGTTTTAATTTTTTAGTGGATAATCATCATCAATGGAGTTTGTGGTTTGAGAAGAGATCATTCGTCTCTGCCGATAACGTATTTTATAGTCTCTGATTTTGTTTTTTCTTTGTTCAAGGTTGAGAATTTTTCATCAATCACTATGAGTCCTGGTCAGTTGCCTTCAGATTCGATCAAAGTAGTTCCTGGCAGGAGTAAGCTGAGGGTTGAATCTTCAAATCCAGTTCCCAGAGGGAATCCAACATCTAAAGCTTCAAAGGTGAAGCTGCTTTCACCGGAGGAAGCTATGAAACTTACATCTGGAGGCAATGGAATGGCGGTTTCTCCAGTTAAGCCTACTCGTGCACCTTCTCAAGTACCAAAACCTGTCCCGCCTCGTCGAACTCCTGAAGCACCAAGACCTGTCCCGGCTTGTCCAACCCCTGAAGCACCGAGACCTGTCTCGGCTCGTCCAACTTCTGAAGCACCAACCCCTGAAACACCGAGACCTGTCTCGGCTCGTCCAACTTCTGCAGCACCAAGCCCTGTCTCGGCTCGTCGAACTCCTGAAGCACCAAGACCTATCCCAGCTCGTCCAACTTCTGAAGCACCAACACTTGTCCCGGCTCTTCCAACTTCTGCAGCACCAAGCCCTGTCTCGGCTCATCCAACTTCTGCAGCACCAAGCCCTGTCTCCGCTCATCCTACTTCTGCAGCACCAAGCCCTGTCTCGGCTCGTCAAACTTCTGAAGCATCAAAACCTGTCCTGGCTAATCCTGCAGCAGGTATTAGAAGAGAAATCGTTTGCGGTCTTCGAGCTTTGAGTATGACTACTACACCAGTGAGACAGAGAACCAATCCAAGTCTCCTTCAATCTAAGAAGGTTGAGCCTCCAAGTCCACGTGCGTTGCAAATTCGTTCAAGAGTTAAGCAACAAGCAGCTACTGCAACACAAGTTCAACAAGGTGTTATCTTTTGTTTCTCTTTTCTTTCTGAAAGCCAAAGATCCTAAACTTGTTTTGATCGGATTGCTAAAAAACTATTGCCTTTTCTCGGTTTCTCTAGGGACGATTGTGGAAGTTGGTGGTAAAGCTAAAGATCATGGTTCCAAAGAGATACGTCAATCAGTCTCTGAGGAAGAATTGTCGAAATTACTTCTATATCTACCAGCTCAGAATCCTTCTTGGAAGTGAGTTTCTTAACACTTCATAATCATTTTTGAACTAAAAATGTGTTTTGTTAGAAGCGTCAACCAGATCACTCTATATGCTAAATTGTTGCCATTACTCTTTCCCAATTTTACAACTTAGGGAAATGTTGTGTGAATACCTTTTTTCATGTAGTTCTTAGCCTTATTTGCATTTTTTTTCAAGGAAATCCAGTGTCTCTTCCTTGCCAGAATGTTAAACAGTCCCTAATCTCTTTCACAGTTTAGGCATATGCTACATTGTTAAAACTGGAGATGTGCAAATGTAGAAACTTGCTGGGATTTCTAGAGCATGACCATAATAAGATTCACAGATGCCGATGTTGCACTTTTCTTGTGACCTTTTTCGATTCCTGTGATCTTTTGACCTTCACAAGTTACTAGCTCAGCAGTTCCTCTTTGCTTGTATATATGATGAAATTTTCCTTTTGACCACTGTACCAGCGGACGCATTATGGATTCTGCCTCACCTCCTGAGTTTGACTGTGAGTTTTGGTCTAAACCGGCATCCAATATCACGAGGAAGGCACTCAGACGTTCAAAGGCAATGCCTGCATTACTCAAGGTCGAGCTGCTTCCTACATGCCACATTCTGAATGATGTGTCTGGCAGAAGCCCAACGCTATTGAAAGTCGAAATGTACCTTTTCCCAGATGAGAAGAAAACAGAAAGGTACTCAAAAACCCTTTCTATGAAGAACAAGCTTGTTATTCTTGCGGCATCTCTGTTATCAGAAAACTTATCAAATCAGGGAATGTACACTCATTCTTTTAGGTTTAAAGGGGAACATGCTAATCTGTTTGAGGCAATGGCAACTCGCAATGTCATGGCCAAAGCTAATATAAACGACACTGTGTTGTTGATATTCTCCTCGAAATTATTGGACAAAACCTCCCAATGTATGTATGCATACTGAATTTCTGCAGAGCTTTTAGTTTGTCCATACATTTTCTATGAATAACATCCGTTTTGTGTTTAGCAGTTGTCATCAATACGCAGAAGAAAACAGAAAACTTCCTTTGGGGTTTTTTTCTCCAGACCAAAAACTCACTAGGACTTGTACCAGAAACTGCTTCTCAAATTGATACAGATTTTGATGATGGGGATGTTGTTGACATGGACATAGACACTGAATGTCTGACCCCAAGTTTGGCTCTGAAGCTAATTACAGAATCACAAAACACTCCCTCAAGATCACCGGAGAAGGTGAACAGAGAAACAAGTTTACCTCCTGGTTTCGAGAAGATATGGACACCACCTTTGGTGAAACTTAATATACAAGGAACTTCAAACCCTCTATCTGATCTAACCGGATCGGCTGGAATAGTGCGTGACCAATCAGGGAAGTGGGTGTTTGGGTACATCAGGTGCCATAGGAGCATCCCTGAAGTCGCAGCTGGGCTTTTGGCTATATACCATGGCCTCAAATTTCTGTGGGACAGCGGTTTCCGAAGAATCCAGTTGGAGACAACAAGCTTTGAGATCATCAATGCTCTAACAACAAGATCGTCCCTGTTTTGTAAAAGGAAAACGCTTCTGGGGTCGTGCAAGGACATGATATTGAAGGACTGGGAGTGTGACATTTACCATATCTCCAAAGAACAGAACTCGTGTGCAGAATGGTTAGCAAAGAGATCAGAAGAACAGCCTCAAGATTTAGTTTTCTTCGAATACCCTCCTCGAGGCCTTGTCGATCTTTTGGAGAAAGACCGTCTTGCAGCTATGTAGAGGTTCTTCAGCTTTGAGGTACACAGTCCCAGTGAACAGCTTAGGAGTACATATCTCGGATTTAGTAGTTTGACCTTTTGAAAATATTAGAAAAAGAAGAGAGAGATGGTTTGAGTGTTAATGTGACATCGTTGGCTCGTTGCATAGTCGTAAGTAGTAAGTACAGTGGAGTTTCATTGTAACCACAGTTCAAGTACACAGACGTTTTTGTGATGCGAAGTGAAGAATCGATATAACTGTAGAGTTTCCCTCCAGATTCAGTGTTGCTCCTCTTCATCTTTCGTTTAGGCACAGTCTTAAGTCTTAACTACAATTAACAACAATTCACAAACACCAAAAAAGGAAAATTACTCTTACAAAAAGTTACTAAACGATAAATTCGCCGTTTGCGGAAAATTGGGTTTAGTTTTTAAGCCGGTTCACCAATTTTAAATTGGTTTCTGCGGTTCAACCGGTCCTTGGTTCAAATAGAATATGACGTGTTAGACTTTGATTGGTTGAGATGCTAGGTTTCCCACTTTCCCTCCAAAGAAGCTCTTCAATGATCCAAAATAATATAATTAATCATAAATAGAATAAAGAAAAATACTTTTGAAGTTTGAAGCTTCTTCAGAGTTGAGAGTAGTGTTTTGTTTTTGCTTCTTGTTGACCCTTCAGCTTCTCTCTAGTTGTCGAAAGATAAGACTGTCACATCCCCCGGAGATGACAATGGCCGGCGAATCTTCCGGCAAGAAATGCGGAGACGGTGACGGTAAAGTCGCCGGGAAAAGCCAGCGAAAGGTGGGTCTTGTTTATGACGAGACGATGTGCAAACACGACACACCTGACGGTGAGGTTGACGTAGAGTGTCCCGATCGTATCCGAGTAATCTGGAAGAAGCTTCAGCTCGCCGGAGTCACTCAAAGGTTCATACTTTTCTCTTCACTCAAAAGCCCTAGAAAATGCTGAAATTTAGCCAGATTGGGTGTTTTACTGATTCTCTTAGCTGAGAAACAGGTCTCGTTTTGTTTTCCTTATTTGGCTTGACATTTGACTTTCTCAATCTAAATTGTTTATTTTGTAGCTTCGAAAGATGCTGCTAAATTTATCCTACACAGGTGTTTCATACTGTTTATTTTTCCACACATTTCTTTTACTTTAAATCTTCACAAATTGACCACCTTTTCAGTTTTTGACGGTTATGGGTTTGACAGTTTCTACTCCTTTATGGAAAAAATTTCATTCATTTTCTGTTTTTAGTCATAAGACTATCAATTAGAGTAATGTGGCATCCCATTAGATAGGAAGGTAGAATCTAGTCACTCGGGAGTATATCCATCAAGAACTTTATTGGATTTTGCTCATCTGTACGGACAATGTTGGTCTTTCCTTTTGCAGATGTGTGGTTCTTGGTGCTAGTAAAGCGGAAGATAAGCATCTCAAATTGGTTCACACAAAGAAACATGTTAATTTAGTGAGGAGTATTAGCACAAAACGGAAGGATTCTCGGAGAAACAAGATTGCTTCACAGTTTAATTCGATTTATCTGAATGGAGGTTCATCTGAAGCCGCATATCTTGCAGCTGGATCTGTTGTAAATGTAATACTAGATGCATACAAATTGACTCTCTCACATACAAGGATAGAAAAGTGTTAGAATGATTTGTTTGACGATTGGTAACAATATTTTTTTGCAACTTGTTAGGTGGCAGAGAAAGTTGCAGAAGGAGAGTTAGATTGTGGCTTTGCTATAGTGAGGCCCCCAGGACACCATGCCGAGGCAGATGAAGCCATGGGTTTTTGTTTATTCAATAATGTAGCCGTTGCTGCTAGTTATTTACTAAACGAAAGAGTAAGGACTTCTTTTGACTTTTGTGATGCTTTTAGTGTCTTTTACTTGTTTTTCTTTAGTCACATTCCTTTGGTGTGTTTGTTCTCATCTTCTTTTGCTTTCTTCAAATGCAGCCGGATCTAGGTGTCAAGAAAATTCTGATTGTTGATTGGGATATCCATCATGGAAATGGTACACAGAAGATGTTCTGGAAAGATCCTCGCGTACTAATATTCTCTGTTCATAGGTATATATTTGCAACCTCTATCTACTCTTCTTTCCAAACTACTTTTTCACATGATCTTTGTTGAGGTTTAAAGTGACTGGAAATGCATTCGTGGCTAGGTATGATGACGGAAGTTTTTATCCATTTGGCGATGATGGGAATTATAATATGGTTGGGGAAGGTCCAGGTGAAGGTTTTAACATAAACGTTCCATGGGAGCAAGGAGGATGTGGAGATGCAGATTATTTTGCCGCATGGGACCATATCTTGATTCCTGTGACAAAGGAATTTAATCCCGATATTATTTTGCTCTCAGCTGGATTTGATGCAGGTATATAGTTTAAGAATTTGTTTCAAGGCTATGTCACGGTAACAGACGTGTAAGCTTTTCAACTTTTTCTTAACAGCTATCGGTGATCCGCTCGGGGGTTGTTGTGTTACACCATATGGATATTCAGTCATGTTGAAGAAGGTTGTGTTTAAGTGAACTCCCTATTTTCTATGTTTTTTGTTTTTGCGTTCCACAAGGCTCCACCACTGAAAATAACAAAGCTACATAATCTACACTTGGATTTGTCCTCAATTTTTTTGTTTCACCAATGTTCTTTCAGTTGATGGAGTTTGCACAAGGAAAGATAGTGCTGGCCTTAGAGGGAGGGTACAATCTTGAGTCAATGGCAAAGTCTTCACTCGCATGTGTACAAGTTTTGCTTGACGACAAACCGGTTCAATGTTCTTCTGGAACATACCCTTTAGAATCTACACGTCATCTCATACAAGCGGTATGGCTCTATATCATCCTATTTTCTAACTTTATCATTTGAAAATCTGAAAGAATCTTGTATGATATGGTTACGATTTCTCTTTCCAGCTCAGTTTTTTCTTATATTACTAGTTGAAAAAGGTCGTCTGTTTCTTGTGGGTTTAGGTACGCAAAAGACTATGCGTATATTGGCCTTCACTTGCAGAAGAATTATCATGGAAGCTGGTTGATCAGAAAACTCCTACTCCAGTTGGGCACCTTTCTTCTTGTCTACCATTTCCATCTTCATTATTCGTTGGCCGTGAATCTGTAGTTAGTGGCGCAAGGACAGAAGGTCCTAACCTGACCGTGCTTCCCTCCTTAGAGCCCAGAAGCACCAGTCATAGTTTGCCCCACTCGCATCTTTCTGTCACCAAGAAAAGAAAGGCTCCCGCTTCTGGTTCGACCTCAAGCCGTCGATTCTCAGAGTTGGAGGATGTCATAGTGGAGAAGGTTCTTCCGTCTTTTCAGGAAGAGCTGACAGGTATGGAATTCGAGGACCGCATCGCTTTCGGCAAAGAAAGTTCCTTCAAGGTAAGTCAAGTTTCAGTCTTCCTCCCTCACCTTATCGTTTTCTCTTCCTGGAATTAATTTGGATTTTATTCCCTTTCAGGCAATTGTGATGTTTGATCACCTTGCTCAGGAGAATAGAGAGTTGAGGTACAAAATTTCTGCTGCTTCTGACGCGTTGATGGCGTCTAATGAGAAGTTAAAGAACCTAAGTGCAGAAAGAAACTCTGCTGACGCTCTCCTTCGTGAAGTGGAAGAGTTGAAGTCTCTATTGGCTGCCCGAGATGGAGAATTGGAGGCAAAGAGAAAAGAGTTAAAGGCCAAAGATAAGGAGCTAGAAGCGCGGCTAATGTTGGTTGGCGCTCGAGAAGATGAAATGCGTGGTCTTCGTGCCAAAATAGAGAGTTTGCTGCGGGAGCGAAATGAGGGGGTAGCAAAAGCTGAGCGCCTAGATAAGGAACTCCAAGAAGATAGGCCAAGAAGCCGCCTAGAGAATGAAGACACGGATATGGACTCAGAAGATGAAGACATCGAAACCCTGTCTCAGAAGTTCAAGAAAGACATAAACCTTGTCTTCGAGAAGTTCAGAAAAGATACTGAGCTTTTCATCGGGGAGTTAAAGAAAGAAAGGGAACATGCCATCACCGCTGCAGTTATCACCACTCGGTATCAAGTATGTCGCAAATGGAAGAGCCAGGGTACTCTAAGTGGGGAGCTTAAATTCGCAGCAGAAGTATACTCCAAGCTGCGCTCTTTGGTTGAAGAGCACGGGAAGAGCCACATTTACCCTTGTGTAGAAATGTATGAGGAGGCGTGGAAGGAGTTTGTTGGTCCTCGTCATCACCCAACAGTAACAGTAAAGACTTAGCAGGTTAGATAGAGGTACCAATCTCGATTTAGTATTTTGATCTTTTGAGAATATTAGAAGAAGAAGAGATCTTTTGAGTCTAAAGTACAATGTAACCAATCACAAATACCCTTTTTGTAACTTGTAATTGGTAACCAAACGATGTTTACTTGTCAACAAGTAACGAGAGATCTTTGAAGAACAATAGCGACTGTTGAGTTTTCGGCTTCTAGTTTAGCACTATCTTTAGAAAATCAAGTATTTTCCATTTTTGAGCTTAGTTTTATCTCCGGTTCACTGGCTTCTGCGGTCAATCGGCCAATGAAGTACGGTTTGATTAAATCGTTGATTCTAGCAAAATGTGACGTGTCGGACTTTGATTGGTTGAGAGCCTTAGGTTTCCCAATTTCCCTCCAAAGAATGTCAAAAATGGTCAAACCTATAAAAAAAAGAGAATGGAAAATAAATAAAAATAAAAATTGAAAAGTAAAAAAATACTTGGAAGCTTGAGAAGCTGAGAGCAGCAAAGCTTGACCTTTTCACTTTTCGAACGATACTGTCTCATCTCCCGGTTATGGCTATGGCCGGAGAATCTTCCGGCAAAAAGTATGGAGACGGCGACGGTAAATTCGCCGGAAAAAGCCAGCGAAAGGTGGGTCTTATTTACGACGAGACGATGTGCAAACACGACACACCTGACGGCGAGGATCACCCAGAGTGTCCCGATCGCATCAGAGTTATCTGGGAGAAGCTTCAGCTCGCCGGAGTTTCTCAAAGGTTCATACTTTTCTCTTCTCGTGCGGCTTTGTTGTTTGTTTGATAATAAAGCCCTAGAAAATGCTCAAATTGGGTATTTTCTGATTCAATCAGCTGAGAAACTGGTCTCAATTTGTCCTTCCTTGTTTGGTATGAGTTTTACTTTTCTCAATTTGAATTGTGTATTTCATAGAATCAAAAGGTTCGTAACTGTAACACTTCATAAACTGGCTACCTTTTGGTTATGTTCGGTCTTGTGTTCGAGTTATTGCATATATAAATTTTTTAATTTTTCATATATGTTTGAGTTTCACTCATAACATTATTAATTAGAGTAATGTGGCAGCCCATGAGTTAGAGAAGGTGGAATCTAGTCTTTGGGGTGTGTATCCATCACCATTTGTTCTTGGATTCGGATGAAATGACATTCTATGTATGGACTTTTTGGTCTTTCCTTTTTGCAGATGTGTGGTTCTTGGTAGTAGCAAAGCGGAAGATAGGCATCTTCAATTGGTTCACACAAAGGACCATGTTGATTTAGTTAAGAGTCTTAGCACTAAAGAGAGAGATTACCGGAGACATAGGATTGCTTTACAGTGGAATTCGATTTATCTGAACGGCGGTTCATCTGAAGCAGCATATCTTGCAGCTGGATCTGTTGTAAAGGTAATAATACTAGATGATTTGTTTCTTTTTACAATAGTAGGATATATTATAAACGGTTAGAATGATTTGATTGAAGATGGGGTAACAACATTTTTCTTTCAACTTAACAGGTGGCAGAGAAAGTTGCAGAAGGAGAGTTAGATTGTGGTTATGCTATTGTCAGGCCCCCAGGGCACCATGCTGAGGCAGATGAAGCGATGGGGTTTTGTTTATTCAACAATATAGCCGTCGCTGCTAGTTATTTACTAAACGAAAGAGTAAGGACTTCTACTATTTGTGATGTCGTTAGATTCTTTGGATTACTGTCAAATTCTTTGGTCACATTCCTTTGGTTTACGTGTTCCCAACTTCTTTGCTTTTCTTGAATGCAGCCGGATCTAGGGGTCAAAAAAATTCTGATCGTTGATTGGGATGTCCATCACGGAAATGGTACACAGAAGATGTTCTGGGAAGATCCTCGTGTACTATTTTTCTCTGTTCATAGGTATGTAATTGTGACCCTTGTTTACTCTTCTTTTGATGTCGCTTGTCATGATTTAAGGAGCCTATTGTTGACTCTATTACCCCTTTACTTGATTTTTATGCTTGGAAAGTAACTAGAAATGCATTTGTGGCTAGGCATGAGTATGGGAGTTTCTATCCAGCGGGTGATGATGGAGATTATAACATGGTTGGGGAAGGTCCAGGTGAAGGGTTTAACATAAATGTTCCATGGGATCAAGGACGATGCGGAGATGCAGATTATCTTGCTGCATGGGACCATATCTTGATTCCTGTGGCTAGGGAATTTAACCCGGATATTATTCTGCTTTCAGCTGGATTTGATGCAGGTAACATGGTTTAAGCATTTTTTTTTAAGTTGTGTCATGTTGAGAGTTGTGTAACCTTTTCAAATTCCTCTTACTAGCTATTGGTGATCCGCTCGGGGGTTGTCGTGTGACCCCATATGGATACTCAGTTATGTTGAAAAAGGTTGGTGTTGAAGTGAACTCCCTCTTTTGTCCATTATATGTATTTGCGTTCCATGGATGTCCATCACTGAAAATAACTCTTCTGGGTTTAGCTGGTTGTTTATCCCTGAGCTACATAATATAAAGTTGCATTTAATATCTTTCGGTTTCATCAATGTTCTCACAGCTGATGGAGTTTGCACATGGAAAGATTGTGATGGCGTTAGAGGGAGGGTACAATCTTGACTCAATTGCAAAGTCTTCACTTGCATGTGTCCAAGTTTTGCTTGGAGACAAACAAATTCATGGTTCTTCTGAAGAATACCCATTCGAGTCTACATGGCGTGTCATACAAGCGGTATTGCTCTATTATCATCCTATCTTTTAACTTTCTCATTTCACAATCTGAAACAACCTTCCATATATTGGCTGTGATTTCTCTTTCCAGCCCAGTTTTTGGTCATAAGTATTATGTAGTGCCTATGTTACTAGTTGACCTAAAGTCATCTATTTCTTGTGGGTTTAGGTACGCAAGAGGCTATGCGCATATTGGCCTTCACTTGCAGATGAATTATCGTGGAAGCTGATTAATCAGAAAACTCCTACTCCAGTTGGGCACCCTTCTTTTTGTCTACCATTTCCATTGTTCATTGTTCATCAGAGAGCGTTTCCTTGCCAGATCGGATTTCGAAAAACCTCACTATTTTTTTTCACATAGCAACCAATTCTTAACTTCTTTGCCTCTATACTAATTTTCCTCTGCTTGATCTTCTTTTTTCGAGACAGTCTAGGTATTTCTTATCACAGATTTTTCTTTTTGTTCATTATATAGATTATCCTTATCTCAAGCTCCGACTCTGAAAATGAAGACGACGCCCATGGACTCCTGGATCAAATGTCGAAACTCAGCATTGAAAACCACCAAGGTACACCACTTGAAAACCACCAAGTAGATACTGTATCTACATCGTGGAGAGCTGATCTCGCAAAGGTTGACGTTTGGTATGCCTCTTTTGGTTCCAACATGTGGAAACCGAGGTTTCTTTGCTATATTCAAGGGGGACAGGTAAGCAATTCTGTTTTGTTATTTTTGGGGTCGAGTCTGAGCTTTGGTCTTAATTGACACATCTATGGCTGTTTGTGTTTATTTTCAGGTCGATGGAATGAAAAAGACATGTGTTGGCTCAATGGATAAAAGTCCACCAAAGGATATAGTGTGGGAAACATTTCCACATAGATTGTTCTTTGGCCGTGAATCTTCAGTCAGTTGGGGTGTAGGAGGAGTTGCTTTCACCAACCCCCTTGCTAATTTCATTGATCAAACTCACATGTGTTTGTACCGAATCACGTTAAGTGTACCACTCTTCATCTCAGTTTCCGTTCACTTTCCCTATTTATTCACTATGGTTGTTTTTTTGTGAACAGGCTTGAGCAGTTCAACGACGTTCTGTCTCAAGAAAATGGTTTGAATGTTGATTCAGATTCTCCAGTCTTTGATCTAGCTGCTTTGCAGTTAGTAGAGAACAAAGGATCCATTTTAGAAGCTGCTTTGGTTAGTCAGATAACAAATGTTGATTGATACGCTTATAGAAACACGTAATAATCACACTTATACTCGTTTATCGACATTTTTACAGAATAGTTGGTATGGAAATGTTGTCTGCTTGGGGAAAGAAAGCGACATTCCTATACTTACAATGACGTAAGTTGTCATCATTCTTTTTCTTTTGCTGCTCAGAAACCGAGTTAAACCGCTAGACAAAAAAATCTCTTCTAACTTCATTTTTTCCTAATAACTTTGTCTTTGCAGTTGCACGCTTTCTGCTGTTGAGAAATTCACATCAGGTGAGATCCCTCTAAGACCTCCTGCAGAAGCCTATGCCAACACTTTAATAAGGGGACTTGTGGAAGGAGGAAGATTCTCTGAAGAAGAAGCTAAGGCTTACATAGACAATGCTGTGTCTAAACCTCTCTAGTGTATTATTTACTCAGAAACCGCCCTTTTGATCACGATTTGAAGCTTCAGGTTTCTGAGTTATTCAATTAGGATTAAAACCACAGGTTAAGAAATATTATGATACTTTTAAATGTGTCTTTTGAAAGAGAGGATTGTGTCCTCTTTTGGCTGTGTTTGTGCTTCGAGTTTGCTCCCTAACGCAAACTCTCTATGTATTTTAGTTATCTTCGGTTTTAGGCTTTACCGAGAAGCTGTATTCGGTCTATGTATTAAAGAATCCTCCAAAATGCTCTATATTAACAGGTTTGACACATGTATCGGCTGGTTTGATATACTTCCGGTTTGGTGTGGTTTGGATGTTCGCATCAAAGATTGAAACGGCAAAAACCGGTAAACATATCGGGCGGCAACAAAAGAACTAATTTTCGCTGTCTCTGAAAAATTCTTGATCTTCGGAATGGACGAATGGTACATTGAATTTGAAGAGTTATTTTTAAAAATAAATAACAGCACTGTGAAGAGTTCTGGTCAAACCTATTAAAAAAAGAAGAGAATGGAAAACAAATATAAATAAAAAATGAAAAGTAAAAATACTTTGAAGCTTCAGAAGCAAAAGATTGGACATTTTCACTTTTTTCTACCTGATCGTCGAACGATAGAGTCTCTCATCTCCCGGATATGGCCAAGGCCGGCAAAAAATATGGAGACTGTGACGATAAAGTCGCCGGGAAAAGCCAGCAAGTAGATACCGCTTCTACATCATGGAGAGCTGATCTCGCAAAGGTTGACGTTTGGTATGCCTCTTATGGATCCAACATGTGGAAACCGAGGTTTCTTTGCTATATTCATGGGGGAAAAGTAAGTAACCTTGTTTCGTTTTTTGGAGTCTGAGCTTGTGTCTTAATTGACACATCTATCTATCGCTCTTTGTGTTTATTTTCAGGCCGAGGGAATGATAAAGTCATGTGTTGGTTCAATGGATAAAAGTCCACCAAAGGAAATAGTGTGGAAAACATTTCCACATAGATTGTTCTTTGGCCGTGAATCTTCATTTTTTTGGGGTGTAGGGGGAGTTGCTTACACCAATCCCCTTACTAATCTCAATGATCAAACTCACATGTGTTTGTACAGAATCACGTTAAGTGTTCTTCATCTCACTTTCCATATTTGATGATCTTTTCTACTTATTCATTATGGTTGTTGTGAACAGGCTTGAGCAATTCAACGACGTTCTGTTTCAAGAAAATTGGTTGAATGTAGATTCAGATTCTCCGCTCTTTGATCTAGCTGCTCTGCAGTTAGTAGAGAACCAAGGATCCATTTCACTTGTACCTGCTTCGGTTAGTCAGATAACAAATGTTGATTGATACGCTTATAGAAACATGTAGTAATCACACTTAACCCGTATTTATTGACATTTTTACAGGATAGTTTGTATGGGAATGTTGTGTGCTTGGGGAAAGAAGGCGACATTCCTATACTTACATTGACGTAAGTTTTCATCATCAGAAACAGAGTTAAACTGCAAAGCGGATGCTCTCTTTCAACTTCATTTTTTTCATGAGGTTTCTCAATTATAACTTTGTGTTTGCAGTTGCACGCTTTCTGCTATTGAGAAATTCAAATCCGGTAAGATCCCTCTAAGACCTCCTCCAAAAGCCTATGCCAACACTTTAATAAGGGGCCTTGTGGAAGAAGGAAGATTCTCTAAAGAAGAAGCTGAGGCTTACATAGACAATGCTGCGTCTAAACCTCTCTAGTGTGTATTATTTACCAAGAAATTAACCGCGCTTTTGATCACGATTTGGAGCTTTGGGTTTCTGAGTTATCTAACTAGTATAAAAACCACAGGTTAAGAAATATTGTGAGACTTTTGAGTTTGTCTTTTGAAAGAGAGGATGTGTTGTGCTTTGAATTTGCTCCCTCTGTATGTATTTTAGTTATCTTCGGTTCTAGGCTTCACCGAAAACACGATTACATGGCATCTTTTAAAATATTATAATGAACGTTATTACAGTTTACAAAAATTGGCATTAGAACGAAAATAAAAATGGAAGAAAACTTATGCAAACATTTAAACATATTGGAGAATATTTTTCTTCTTCTTATAACTTTAATCGTTTAAAATTAGCTGTCTAATTAACTTGTAAATCTAAGCCTATTTTGTAACTAACTTCTAAGTTCTGTCATTGTGCAGCACTTGAATTCTCGTGTTAAATAGGGAAAGGTTAAGTGAGGGAAATTAAATTCTTTTGGTAAAAGTGGGCAAAATGATACTCTTTTAGTCAATTTCATTACACAAAAAAAAAAAAAAAAAAAGATATTGTCACTATCAGAGATATTTGGGAATTTAATAACCTTACAGTTTTTTCTCACTAACTCGCCGTATCGTCGTTTTTTGTCAGCGAAGAAGATAATAAAAAATAAAACACAGAGCCGTTCGTTCGTCTGATTCGATTGTACCAACTTCCGACAAAGATTCCACCTTTTCCGATTGTTCGATTTCCTTAGACCTTGAGCTTCTCCATTGCTTCATTGATCATTTCTTGAAGCTACACAAGCAAGGTCTCTCTTTTTTTCTTTAGTTCGTTTCTTTTGCAATTTTCGCCCAAAGGAAAAGGGTACACGTTGTTACTGCTCACCACCTTATCTCTGACGGAAAAATCGAAGCTTTCTCTGAGATTTGCTCAGTAGTAATTCGATTTCCGCATAGTTTTGGTACAAAGTGGAGGGTTTTGGGCATTGCTGTCGACCTGATTCCTGCGTTTAATATTCGGGTTTTTAGGTCTCACCTTGAGGTTGCTTGTGTTGAATCCGTTTGGGAATTTTCAGATAACATTTCTGCCTGAAGTGCCCGATAACTCTTGTCGATAGAGTATGGATTGTTCTTGACAGTTAAAGCCCTGAGCTTTCAACTTCGTTCATTGGATTGGTGTTTGAATTGGAATGGAGAAGGAGAGATTGTACTGTTATTTTTTGGGTTGCTCTCTTGATTCTTGAAGGCAAGAGAGGAAGAAATGGATATTTGGTTAATCGCAGCGACTGCTGCTACGGGATATATAGCTAAGCAATTGCAGAATGTAACTAAAGGTAAAGATATCGTTCTTGAATCTTCTTCTGAAGATGTGAAGCCAGAATCTCCTCCTGGGTGCTTGCTTAGCAGATTGGTAAGAGTCAACAAGGCTAATGAAAACAAGTTTGGGGATGAGAAAATTATATCAGATGGGGATAATCCGGATGCATCTACGAGTGGGGAAAATTCGGGATATTACGAAGCTAATCATTCAGATTCTTTGTTCGGTTTGATGCCCGACTTCCCGGAGATGGAACAGGGGACTTGGAAAACCAGTGCTACTCTTGCAGGTGACACAGAGTTGAATTCTTTATTTAGGCAGAGAACATTCGTTAGGAGAAACCAGCTGTACAGACAATTAACCAAACCTTTGAGTTCGATGGATAGCTGCTTAATGTCTCGATTTCATAGAGAACAAATGACCATGGAAGATTACATGACTAGCCCATTTCCATCACCACACGTTTCAGTTTCAAGGCCATTACTTGTGACTGATGGTAATCGAGTAATTAGCAAGAGCGCTGCAGATTCTTTGTGGCTGAGCCAACAAATTATTCTCAATGAAGATAACGCTACACAAAGTTGCGGAATCCCCCGGTTGGAGTCTTCGGTTGAGAGAAGAGTGGGAAATGAGAAGAGCAAGAGTAGAAAACATGGTAAAGTTGTTGAAATCTGTAACTTGTAATTATTTGTACTAAATAATTGAAAAGACTGTCCATGGCACTTAAGTTTCTTTTTTTCAGGACAAGGTGATGCAACAATGTTGCTACAAATCGGGATCTCGATTGGCATCATGTCCTCGTTCATGGCAAGCCAAGCCGAAGTGAGCAAAGTCAAACAAGAGCTGAAGCAAACAGAGAACTTGGTGCATGACTTAGAAGATGAGCTTGAGATGAAAGACTCGTTGATAGTGAAGGAGATAGATATTGAAAAGGCAGCTGACAATTCAGAATCTATAAGTAATATTGAAGCAGAGCTTGAAGCTGAACTTGAAAGGCTAGAAATTAACATGAACTCCTCCAACATTGAGACAAGACCCTCTGATATGATAGAGGTTTGTTGTCTACACTTTTAACTATGCTCTTTACTGTCCCTTACACTTTTAACTATGCTCTTTACTGTCCCTTGCCTGAATCACCAAAACTTAAACAAGATGTTCAAAGTTCAGTTTTGTAAGCTCTACTTTGATTTTTGTTGCAGATGGAGCCGGATTGTGAGGTAGAATTTGCACAGGGTGAACTGAGAGCTGATCGGGTTAAAGGGAAGCGTTTAGATGAAACTGAGTCCAACCAAGACCCAAGTGGTAACTCCACACCTGAGTCAGGAAACTATGCTGTCTCACCTCGCGAATTGAGCTTGCGGTTGCATAAAGTTATCAATTCACGCCTTGAGAAACGGATTGAAGAGCTCGAGACTGCACTCCAAGAGAGCCAAAGAAAGGTGGAGCAGCTGGTCATGGAATCAGAGAGCAAGAAGAGATCATGGTCAAAGTTATGGGAAACTCGTGAAGTGATGACATATAAGAGTGACTCGAAAATCCCAGTTGCTATTGAGCACACCAAGACTAATCTTCCTGAGATGCAACCGCTGGTTATGAACTTAACTGGGGAAGCACTTGATGCATTCAATGAGTCTTACGACGAATTGATGAAAATAAACGATGACTCGGAAGATGATGATGATGGTGATTCACCGTTAGAGATGCAAGAGAGCAGGATTCACCAAGAAGATTTCTCTTCAACAAACAAAAGCTCACCTTGGAGCCATCAGAAGGACGATTTCAAGGTGCAAGAGCAGGAACTGCTAGACCTTATTGGTATTGAAGACGAAGAAGAAGAAGAAAGCAGTGACTTTGAGAGTGAAATAGAGAAGCAACTGATAAAGCAGATTGTTGAGAAAACAAAACAAGGGTCTCCTGTTGTGTTGAATGCTCAGAAGATGCTATTTCTCATGGAAGAAACTGAACATAATCTGTAACATTAGGCAGCATTAGAGTTTTGCGTGGATGGAATTCTTAAGGTCTGGTTAGTGTGTAGACCACAAGCAAAGTTGAAACAAAGCTCACTTCTTTTTGTTAAAACTCAACGTATACCTTAAGAAACAATATCAAGCTACAAATTATTTTCAAGATAGCAAAAGCAGATGGTTTCTCGATAAAGTGTTTAATTCAGGAAGCAATGTAGAATAGCTACTACTACTAATCATAGGATTTCATATGAAAAGACAAAGTCTTGACAATATTCTTTTGCTAGTTGATTCAAGCTCTTTTGGCAACATCAGTGTCATCTTCGAAATCTCCACCTATTGGTCCATTCTCACTTTTCTCCATGCTTCCAAATTGATCCTCACTGCCAGATTGGCCACCAGCAGCAAACTGAGTACTGTCACCACCGAACTGAGAACTGTTGCCAACAGGGCTTCCTCCAAACTGGCTATCTCCAGCGAATCCACCATTGCTGCTACCATAAGTATTGGCACTACCATAACCACTACTTCCATTATAGTCACCAACAGCACCTGCACTTGCACTTGCACTGGAACCCTCACCATAAGTGTTGCCGCTAGATCCAAAGCCACCGCTTGCACCATATCCACCACCAACTCCGTGACCGGTAGCATCACCTCCATAGCCACCAGCACCACTGCTCCCATAGCCACCACCAGCATTACCTCCGTAGCCACCAGCACCACCACCGTAGCCACCACCAGCATTACCTCCGTAGCCAGCAGCACCACCTCCATAGCCGCCAACAGCACCACCTCCATAGCCACCGGCACCTCCTCCATAGCCACCACCACCATAACCGCCACCACCGCCTCCGTAGCCACCACCTCCAAAACCACCACCACTTGTTCTATCATTTGCATAATTTACTTTAACAACCCGGCCATGGAGATCCTGAGGAAGAATAAAGGTATTGGATCAAAAGGAGGGAAGATTATCAATGAAAGTTAAACTCAACGAGACACCTGAAAGCTCACAGACATTATTACTCTTTCAAAGGTTCATAGACCAGCAATGAAACTTACCCGACCATCCAAAGCCTGGATAGCACTAGAGGCCGCCTCTGAAGAGGTGAATGTAACAAATCCAAATCCCCTCGACCTACCCGTTTCACGATCCAAAATAACCCTAGCTGTATAAAAACATAAAGGCTGGGTTAGCAGAAGGGAACTAAACAAACCATACTCAAGAACTAGATGCCTATTTGTTCACTAAAACACTGCAATAACATTTGACAAGAATACTAAAATAGATGAGTAATTTACTTTCAACCACTTCACCGTATTTGGTGAAAGCTTCTCTTAAGCTATCTTCATCCATGCTATAAGCCATGCCTTACAACAGAACAAAAAACTGATACAGTTAGTAGCAAATAACAAGTAAACAATTCTTAGTTTCAAGGGCTATACTCACCTCCAATGAAGAGCTTAGAAGATGACATGCACCTTATCGCTTGAAAAAGCGAAGGGCTTGATAAAGAAACCTGAGCATTGAGTTGCTTGTTTGTGGTCTGCTTCAATATGTTCCCGAATTTACTCAAAAAAGCCATCGCAATTAGATATCTAACATGAAAAGACAAATAATTTAGCCACCAGATAGTCAATTTAAAGTAATGATCATATCATTTCCTATTTCCTATCAAGAAGTTAGCAAGTTTCATACTTTTTCCCTCTTCAGAAGAAGGGTATCGAAAAACGACAATCAAAGCTTTTTTACCTAACCTATTAAGCAACCAAAGAGTGAATTCAGAAATTGAAACACAAAGATCCATGAAAATGAACAGCGAAGAAGTAACAGAGATCACTCAAAATCAGAGAAGAAAGAACCTTTATAACAGCTACAGAGAATCGAAGCTGAGAACTTTTAGGGTTTATGAGAAAGAAATGAGCGTGAAGAGTGAAGTACCTTACACTGACTTGGCTTCCTCTATGATTTCTCGCTTCTGTTAAAACTTAAAACCCTACTTGTCCCAGAAAGGGTTTATGTAGCGAAGTTGCAAGATCTAAGTAAATCGTGACCGTTAAATCTAAAGTGATTTGGGGAAAAACAAAGATCAGCCACGTAAGGCTTTTTCATTAGGACGTCATTTCTTTTACGTGACAGCCCAGTAGCTACAACAAATGAAATATTTTTTGTACTGGGCCTTATCTTCATTAGAGCCCATTTAGATTGCTGAAAGTGCAACCCGACTCACAATATTTTGACCCGAAACATGAAATACTCAAAAAGTTGTTGCCTTTAGGGTTTTGTGGTCTCCGCTAGTCAGTCGTTTACTCTCTCTCTCACATTTTCTCTTCTCTCCAACAACAAGTTTCCGCCGCTTAGCCACTCACTACGCAGCCATGGCGAATCCTGACCGTATCCTTCATTTTCTGTTTCCATTGTATTAGCTTTAAGAGTATTTCTCAAGGCTTTCTTCTCTGAAAACGAAAAAGATTTCTTTTTGTTCAAAGGGTTTTACATATATGTTGGTTTCTTCATCCTAGCTGGATCTCTTGTTAGTTCTTTGAAACTCTTGTTTTTCTACGATGGATTTAGATCTTCTTCGTTTTTATTTATTTTTTTTGTCGTTCATAAATTCTTCAACTTTTAGGGTTTATGAAGAATTGTCTTGTTGAATTTCTTGCAGATCTGATGTTTTGATTCGAGAAAAGTCATAAATTTTGTTATTCCTTCATTGTTTTATAGATGTTTCAGATGTGCTGCACAATTTGTCTATTGATCCAGCAACCAAGGTTTTAGCTCCTGATTCTGAAACTAAGGTATTGTTGTGCTCACCTTTTGTTTAGTGATTCAAAAAGCATTCCTTTTGGTTTCAGTAAGAGTCATTTTCAGAGTGAACATTATAAAGACTAGTGTACATTTTAGTTGCAGGGGGCTTTTGGCGGAAACGGTAATGACTATTTGCTCAATGGTGACTTATTGGAGGCTACCAAAACTGGTAAACCTAGTCTTTTGTCTAAAGATGGAGGTTTGACCAAAGACAAGGGATCAAACCTGAAGAAACTCGGGTACCAAAGCTCAGCTTATAACGCAAAGGGTTCGTATGGGAAGGGTGCTTACTCTTATGGGTACTATTCCCCAGCATATCAGTACCCAAGATATGGTTACAGTGGGAGCTATGCTTCTGGAAAAACCAATCTTCAGTATCAGTACCTGGTATGTTCTTTTTTCATTCATTCAGCTGTAGTCGTAATCTCTTGGTATGTAATATTGACTTGTTTATTCGTTGATTTATTATCATCTTATATTGCAGACTCAGCATGGAAGATCAGCTGGTACAGGTCAATCTTATGGAGGATACATGGACAACATTTACTCCAATTATGGGATGTGTGGACCTTACACGAATGGCTATGGGTATGGCTCTTACGGTTATGACTCATGGAAATACATGCCCAACTGGTATGCGGTTAACAATACCTACAAGACCAGAAATGGGCTTCATGGATATGGCAAAGAAAACATTGAGGGATTAAATGAACTGAATAGAGGTCCACGAGCTAAGGGTTTCAGCAGCCAAGATGGTTCCAAGGTGAAGACTGTGTCTTCCAAGGAGCAGAGAGTGACTGAGACTGAGAAACTCAGTGAAGATGTGTCTCTTTTAGATCCCAAGGACTACAACAAGATTGATTTCCCTGAGAACTACTCGGAAGCAAAGTTTTTTGTAATCAAATCGTACAGTGAAGATGATATTCATAAAAGTATCAAATACAGTGTTTGGTCCAGCACTCCTAATGGTAACAAGAAGCTGGATGCTTCATATAACGAGGCAAAACAGAAGTTAGATGGCTGCCCCGTGTTTCTACTTTTCTCTGTGAGTGAATATAAAACCTTCAATAATTCATCGACCTCTGCTTTGTATTTCAGTTTTAGTAGTAGTGTTCTTATGTTTTCATTGATTTCACAGGTAAACACGAGTGGACAATTTGTTGGTTTAGCCGAGATGGTAGGCCCTGTTGATTTCAATAAGACTGTCGAATACTGGCAACAGGACAAATGGATTGGTTGCTTCCCTGTTAAGTGGCATTTCGTTAAAGATATCCCTAATAGCTCCTTGAGGCATATAACTCTGGAGAACAATGAGAACAAGCCGGTTACAAATAGCAGAGACACACAGGAAGTATGTCTACTCACTGTGTTGTCTATCACCTTTTGGATTATAACAATTGATCTGTAATTTATTTCTTACCCACATTGACCATTTTTTTTGTCTGCAGGTAAAGCTAGAGCAAGGCGTTAAAGTCATCAAGATTTTCAAGGACCATGCAAGCAAGACATGCATCCTCGATGATTTTGTGTTCTACGAGAATCGTCAAAAGATTATCCAAGAGAGGAAAAGCAAACACCTGCAGATCAAAAAACAGGCAACAATCCTCTCTGAAACCAACAATCCTTTGATCAGTATATATATATATAACAGGAATATCTTACAAATTTTGGTATTGTTTCCAAGCAGACGCTGGTGGCCAATGCAGACAAAAGAGACAACAGTGTATTGCCAAAAATTAATATTGTGAAACCTCAAGAGTCTACTACAGCCTCGGATGATACAGCAGCACTAGGAGTTGCGACTGAAGTGACTAGAGAATCGAAAGTGGTGAAAGAAAACGAGTTACCTGTGGAGAAAAATGCTGTTGCTACTGCCTGCTGAACCAACCTTTGGTTGTAAGAGGGAACTGGGGCTGTTTTAGGCTATTTAGAGTGTTTCCCTAGTTTTGTTTCCATTCCTGAATTTGCAGACTTTTTGTTTTGTTCGGAACCGAGTTGCAAGGGTAGTGGCTTAGTAGATGAAGTTTTGGCATGAGCATTCATCAACTTGCAGTTAATCTCTATCCCTTCAGTAGTGGTCCAATATATGAGGATATGGGTAAAAGATTGATATTGAATCATCTTATTCAGTTTTATAACTTTTTCAGCCAAGACCAGTAAGAGAAACATTTGACATCTGCTTCATACTCGAATGTAGGTATCAAATGGTCCAAAAAAAGTTAAGACAAGATCCATATCAAATTTTGACACAAGATTGTCGAACTCCATATGTTTGGACATAAGGATACTCCTAAATCTTAACTGAGGAGAGAAGTCATCACTGACATCATAATCATCCCAGTCTCTTTCTACAGGTAGCTCATTTCCTTGACATGTTCCTTCTCCACCAGATAGGCACCAGGCACAAGAAGTATATAAGTATTTAACATTAGAATTATATGTGCCAAATCATCAATACTTGACTGTTGCTTATGTCAAAATCCAGCATAAATTACAGAGTTGAGAAGTAAGAAGTCCCCAAAGATATGTCCCAATCGAATATATAATTTCTACCATATGCCAAAAGTTGAAGACATAACCCAAGTCCATACATCAGTTAAATCAGAAGTGTCCATCGAGTTAACCAACAAATCATTGTCTTTTTAAATGTTAAATCTGACTTCAACATTAAATTTGTACTAAGCATGTGAAAGATGACATAGTGACAAGATACGCAAATCAAGTTACATCCCCACAATGGAGTATAAAAATTCTACAACCTTATTTACATGTAAGCAATCACAAATCATTGCATAAGTAAGTAAATAACAAAAGAACAAAGATAGAGTCCATTAGGCTCGAGTCATCATCATCATCTCCTACGAGAACTGAGCAATGATCTCGGAGATGGCGAACATTCAAAGAGATCAAGGAGCATATTCTCAATGTCTTCACAAGTGTATCGGATATGTTTTTCGCCTATACGAACCGCATTTCTTCCAAGAAATCCCCTGTAAGACTGAACAACCTTGACAGAGGTTGAGATGTGAAGATCATCGCGGAGCTCTGGATCAGGAACTGACCAATGGGTTTGGTTCTTGTAAACATCATCAAATGCAAGGCTGAAATGTTTGCATCTTTCTCTCAGGGTTCTTACAGAGTCGTTTTTTTCTGTAAGCAAAGCGAGTATAGAGCTCCATGAGGATCTCTCGTAGTTTGTGACATTGCGTTGGTAGCTTGCAATGTGCTTCCTGATCCATTCGTCTCCAAACAAGTGTCTCAGCTCTGATCCCTTTACCTTCTGGACCATGTAACGGAAGTTGTTCATCAGGAAAATGGATTTCAGTGCTTCGTCTGCGTAAAGCTGAGCTTTTCGCTCAAGGCTGGATTCCAGAGTTGTGACGATTGACCTGAGGTGTCTAGCCATTGGAGAGAATGTCGAAGGGAGGACATCTTCTCCTGTTTTCTCGGGTATTGAGTCGTCAACGTGTATGTTCTGAAGAAGTGAGTTTAGGGTGTCGGTATACTCCGGGAGAAGCTTCAAGTAGTTCATTACATACCTGGTCAAATGATGAATTCCGCCTCCGTGAAAAGGGCGTGCGGATTCATCTGAGGCTATTGCGTCTTTGAACTTTAAGAAGGTTGCGGTTGAATGATCAGCTAGTTTTTTTGACAGGTCGTGGAATGCAATTCTTAAAAACGAGCCTGTTTCATCCGGGAAAAGGTTATCGACATCCACAAGAATCTCTGCTGAAACCTCATACATACTAAGGAAGCGCTCAAGCATTTCTGGCTTGCGAGATCTTAGCACCACAGCTTCTCCGAAGTTGAGGAGGGATAGAACTGTATCTTTAGAGATTTCAATTAAGCAAGCCGTAGAAATTGACTCAAAGTCTCCCAAGATCTGTCCGCAGAGCTGTTTTTCACTGGCGAGATAGACCTGAGTAATGATCTTAATCACCCTTGTCCATTTTCTCATTGCACCATTCAAATCCTCCCATTCCATTTTAAGAACATCGACGAAGCTGAATCTTTCCATTTCAAGAGTGACCATATACTCATCCAGAGCTTCTCTTTGAACGCTGATGAAAGCTTCACAGAATGCTTGATCATACTCGCAAGCAAACATGACGTTTGCAATAGCTTTGATGTGAGGAATGACGCTGGGATCAACTAAATCAGAATTATAGAAATCTGATATCTGTTGATCATCTTCGTGTGAAGAAGCTTCAACAACAACTTCATCATCTAGGGAGACAAAGGACTCGTCGTACACAATATCCTTTCTACGGGAACTAACAGCCAAGTATTCAGGCTGTACATGCTGTTTGTGCTGATGCAGGACATCACGGAGCTCTTTCTCAAGCCTCAGCATCGCGATGTCAAGAGCAACCGTAGCTTGGTTGTAAACATCTTTCTCCTTCTGGTTAGTTTTGATGGGCAAAGCTTTGAAACCCACAAGAACTGATTGAACATCATACAGGGCTTGAAAGAATTGATTCACTTCAGACAAACCAGCTTCCAAAATCGTCGAGTGGTTTGTCTCCCAACTGCGGATTTTCTTCACAGCTTCTTTGAATCTCTCCTTGATCTCAGAGAATCCTGCATCTTCAACTTTCGTATCAGCAATCCCAAATGTTGACAAATGCGACTCTAGGTCAGTTAGGAGCTTTCTCAAGTTGGCATCCAGGTTGTTATCAGATGCCCTCAGTGCCTTAACAACATGGTGACATGCCTCAAAGACATGATTTTTCCCCCCGGAAACAGGAAGCTTGGATTCAAACTCTGCCATAACCCAAACCAAAGACTAGATCCTAAACTCAACTAGAATTTGACTAGACAACTAAATACACACGGCTGAAGAGAGAAAACTCAAAAGTACAAATGGGGGAAGCAGTAAAAGATATAAACTAATGGAAACAGTTTTGATCAATCCATGAAGATCGTATAACAGGAGAGGTTTTCTGATAAACTAAAGGATGATATAGAAAGTGATTACTAGGTACGCTTAACCCCAAGAACTATACTTCGAAAAAATCTTAAGTCATCTGGGAATGAAGTAAACAGAGAGGAAGAGGAAACCCCACATGAACATAGTAAAAACCATTACTACTTAAGCATAATCCAGTTGACATACTTATGGTAAAAGATCAGTGAAGCATTCTTCACATCCAACATTTCTTCCTCTTCACACGACCATACTATCTATCATCAGCCCACACAACACCCCAAAGAAAAAGTCAAGTCAACGGCTTTCCCCAAAACCCTTGTTGCTTCTGTAGAAAAGGAGAAATTTTGAGGGAATTAAGATGTTTATTAGAAACTGATATGTACTTTGATTTCACAGAAACATTTTATCATACACTTGGTGATCAAACAGAGTAACGTACCGTGAAACGAGCTTAAAATCCAACGTGAAGAAAAGAAAACAAAACCCAGGAAAGAACAGATTGTGATTTCGATTACTGTATCATCAAAGTCTCAAAGAAGAGATTTTTGAAGCAAGAGCAAGAGAATTTAGGCGAGAATATTGGGGAAGAAGAAGGAAAGAAGAAAAAGTTGTGGTGCAAGCAAACTCTATATATAAAAACAAAGTTGAAAATTGGAATTAGTATTCGAACGAAGGCGATGCCGTAATTTCGTAGATTGCGAAAGGTTGGGACAATTATATATTTCGCACCAATTTTTTTTTAGTTTTAGTCTTTGAAATTGTTTGGCCGCCCCGAATCTAGTTGAGATTGATTTGTCCATTGACTTCCACTCCCCCATTTGGTGGGACAAAAACAATGGGATGATAAGTCAATTAACTTAAAATTTGGGGGTAGAAATGTAATTAATAAGCTTCGAAATTTATTTAATTTGTTTCAGCCATTTACGAATTTGAACATTTGTGTTCTATCTTCCTCCTTGATTTTGATAATTTTGTCGTCAGAGAGAACCGAATTTCATTTTCGACATTTTAAGTTGGTTTTTAAGCGTTATTGGATACATTAGGGATAATTTAGAAGTTATAGGAAATTAAGGGGTACAACAAGAAATTGTTGTAATAAAGGTTGATTAGTCAATACTTGAAGTTTGACTGGCTCGCACATGCATTGATCTGAACCGTCCGCTTAAATTGTACGGGTCACACGAGTAGTTGACAGCTCATACTATAAAGACATTAGCAAGCTTTTTCCCAAGTCAAGAAGTAAAATTTTCTCTTCATATATAAATTAAAAACTAAATGTTTGCCTCACGCAATGCGTATATAATTAAATATTTTAAGTTTCAAAAACATGTGATTTATGATGATTAAAGATTGTAAATATGGTTTAATCTGGACTTGGGTTTGGTTTTGATCATGAGATTTTTGTATTAAACTTTTTAGAATCTATGACTATTAGTATTTGTTGGAACTAATATCGTTTTTGTTCTTCAACAAAAGAAAATTAGTATTTGTTGGAAATAATTTTCAGTTATATAGATATTTATCAATCATAACGTGTGATACGGTGGATGCGAGACCCACACATCAAAACAAAACCACAAATATTTGTAGTTTTTAAAATGGCTTTTAGTTTTTATTTTATTTTATATAAAAATTTGGATTTTCCAAAAACTAGATTCAAAAAACCACTCTAATTTCTCGTGTTCATGTCGTATATAAACAACATTCCTACGGATTGCACATTTAAGACATTCAAGTAATTTTAAGTTGTTAGACAAAAAAAAACACACTCTAATAGTAATATCTAATATCTAATCTCTTGTATCAAAATCTAACTTTGCAAAATTGCACAATGACAATTTGTAATGGTCTTAGTTCAGTTGGGTTTAATTGCTTGTAGTAATGGGTTTGATTAAACCTATGGGCCTGGACTAGGCTTTTGTAACACATTTTCTTTCTTTCCAATACAAAGCCCATTATCAAACAAAAATAATAAAAGAAAAAAATGCGCCAAAAAAAATGGAAAGATAGTGAAAAGAAGCGGTAAGAGTTTTTTCTCCCCGAAAAAATGGAAATTGAGAACAGCGGGAGAGCAATAAATCGAATTTAATAGCTCCCGCTTAAAAACTCTCTCCTTTACAAAAACCCTTTGTATCTCCCATTCTTCTCACTATCACATACACCTTTTGGGTTTACCATTCTGACTAAGGATAGATATCAAAACGTATCAATCGAGAGAGAAAGATGCAGACTTCGGTGACCCCAGATGCTATTTCCACCGTTTTGTCAAACCCATCCTTTGATTCCTCCTCCGATCGACCTGAAATCGTTGTTCAAGTTGTGGATCTTAAACCTATCGGCAATCGATATACGTAAGTTTCCTTGGCTTTTTGTGATCTGGGTTTTATTTGGTTTCTTAATCTCGTTTGTTCCTGCTTTATATTAGTGTTTGTTCCGGATCTGGGTTTTGATATGAGTTTTTATAATCTCTAGTTTTGGGTTTTAGTTTCCGATCTGATTTTGTTCTGATGGATCTAGTTTAGGGTTCGTGAGGGTTTTATATTCTATGCATTTGATCTGATTAGTCGTTTATATGTTTTGATTTTGGTTGACAGATTTAGTGCAAATGACGGAAAGACGAAAGTCAAAGCGATGTTTACAGCTTCACTGACACCTGAAATTATTTCTGGAAAGATCCAGAATCTGGGTCTAATTCGTCTCATTGATTTCACAGTTAACGACATATCAAGCAAATCAACTAAGTAAGAGCTCGCTTTTGCTTATTTACATGATTAATCAATCACTTCTCCTTTTTTACTCTTGATTCAACAGTTAATAACATGTGTCTTTGTCTATTGTCTCTGTGTCAGATATTTCCTTGTGAATAAGTGTGAAGCTGTTGGTTCTGTGCTTGATTCTGAGATCAACTTGGAGAGTAAGAGTGAAGAGGAGGCTAGTGAGCCTAAGAAGCAGAAACTAGAGCATTCTCCTGTCACTCCTGTGAATGATGTTAAAACAGATGTTTCTACTGGTATCACATTGAAACCTAAGCAGGAATTTTTAGCCAAATCAGCCTCTCAGATAATGAGTGAACAGAGGGGAAAGTAAGCAATTTCTCTTTTTCTATCTTCAATTTTTTCATTTTCTCTATTTATGAGTGTTTGCTTTAACTCGTTTCGATTTTTGCAGTGCTGCACCAGCTGCAAGAATGGCCATGACTAGAAGGGTTCATCCACTTGTGTCATTAAACCCCTACCAAGGAAACTGGACCATCAAAGTCCGAGTCACTAACAAGGGAGTCATGAGAAATTACAAGAACGCTAGAGGGGAAGGATGTGTCTTCAATGTTGAACTTACTGATGAAGAAGTAAGAATGCTCCCAAGTTTACTTTGTATCTCAAACTTGGTATAGATCTTTATACGGTTACTCATCTTGTTTATTTGGCTGTGATCCAGGGAACACAAATTCAAGCAACGATGTTTAATGATGCTGCAAGGAAGTTTTACGAGAGATTCCAATTGGGAAAGGTCTATTATATATCAAGGGGGTCACTTAAACTTGCTAACAAGCAGTTCAAGACAGTTCAGAATGATTATGAGATGACACTGAATGAAAATTCAGAGGTTGAGGAAGCTAGTAGCGAAGAAATGTTCATCCCTGAGACAAAATTTAACTTTGTACCCATTGAAGAGTTGGGTTTGTATGTAAATCAGAAGGAGCTTATTGGTAAGAGCCGTTTTTTCATAGAACATTCTTTTTGCAGGTAAGTTATACATTGGTTCTGATAATAACATACATACTATGCTATTTCCAGATCTTATTGGAGTTGTTCAAAGTGTATCTCCGACCATGAGTATTAGAAGGAGAACTGACAATGAGATGATCCCTAAGAGGGATATAACTTTGGCTGATGAGTCGAAGAAAACTGTTGTGGTGTCCCTGTGGAACGACCTTGCAACTGGCATAGGTCAAGAACTGCTAGACATGGCTGATAAGTCACCTGTGGTCGCAATCAAATCTCTCAAAGTTGGAGATTTTCAAGGTAAAGTTGGATTTATATTATTGAACAGTATGTTGTATTCACACTTGTTTGAACTTATTGCTGATAGAATCCAATCTCTCCAGGTGTTTCGTTGTCCACCATCAGCAGAAGCAATGTGGTTATAAACCCGGAATCACCAGAAGCTAAAAAGTTGAAATCTTGGTATGCTTTCGGATTGAGTCAGGTGGTAAAATATAATGATGAAACATGTCTGTGTTTATTGAATTATCGTTCTCTTTAACATTTGCAGGTTTGATTCTGAAGGCAAGGAAATATCCATGTCTTCCATTGGCTCAGGGATGAGCCCATCTGCCAAGAATGGATCTCGTTCTATGTATACTGATCGAGTCCTTCTCTCTCACATCACAAGCAACCCATCTTTAGGCGAAGAAAAGGTAATAAACACTGAAATTCAAGTCCTGGACCAAAAGTGCTTAATTATAGAGTTATGAACTTATTATGAACATGGATTTCTGTTGCAGCCTGTATTTTTCAGCACGAGGGCTTACATAAGCTTCATCAAACCAGATCAGACAATGTGGTACCAAGCTTGTAAGACTTGTAACAAGAAAGTGACTGAAGCACTTGACTCTGGTTACTGGTGTGAAGGATGCCAGAAAAAATATGATGAATGCAGCCTAAGGTGAGAGAGTTACTCCCGATTCATAGATTAAACCTGGGTATGATCTTAACTTCCTTTCTCAATCATCTTAAATCTGTCAACTTTGGTTCTTGCTAGGTACATAATGGCGGTGAAAGTCACCGACTCATCTGGAGAAACATGGATTTCCTCATTCAACGATGAAGCAGAGAAGATTCTTGGATGTTCAGCTGATGAGCTCAACAAACTAAGATCAGAGGTAAGAAAACAAAACCCTATGTATATGCTATAACTAATTTAAACATCAAAACCCTATATAATAGCATATTGGTGTTTAAATTTGTTAACAGGAAGGTGAAGTAAATGAATATCAGACAAAACTGAAAGAAGCAACCTGGTCATCTCATGTCTTCCGGGTTAGTGTCACTCAGAATGAGTATAACGGTGAGAAGAGGCAAAGGGTAACTGTGAAAGGAGTAGCTCCTCTTGATTTTGCTGCTGAAACAAGATTGTTGCTCCAAGACATCTCCAACAAGAACAAACCATCTCAGTAGTAGTTGTTTTTTTTTTCTTCTTTCCTTTCTTCAACCTTAGTATTTGTTCACTAGTGGCCTAAAAAAGTCTAAAACTTTGCTTGTAATATAAGCCTTTCTGCAATTTATATAATTAGGGTTTTAACGTTTTTAAATTTGCTTTAAACTTAATTCTTTTTTTACAAGCGATCTATTTTGGTCTCATAAAACTGATAAAAGAAAAAACAAGCAATCTATTTTGTGTCTAAAAATCTGTAGTTAGTAACTACAAACAGTTGTGATTTGTGAAGGTTAGTTACTTTTGATCGACCAATGGCCTTAAGAAATTAACTTTATGTAGCCCAAATTTTAAGGAGGCAGGCCCATATCGGCCCAATTAGGTTTTAATAAAATAAACAATATAACTAAAACCCTTCGTAGCCAAAACTCGCTCTCTTTTTTTTCCACTCTCGTTCCTCGGCCAACACTAGTCTCTTCTGATTTGTACCCTAACGCTGCTCGATTCATCTTAAGCCGTAAATCTCGCCGGAAATCTTAAAACGCTATTTTCCTGAACGCCGTTTGATTCCCATACGGTGGGTCTGTCTTTGAAGTCCAGGAGATAGCAAATTTGTTGAAAAATGGAGGAGGAGAACGAAGTGGTGAAGACGTTTGCAGAGCTTGGTGTGCGTGAGGAGCTTGTTAAAGCTTGCGAGAGATTGGGATGGAAAAACCCTTCCAAAATTCAAGCCGAAGCCCTTCCTTTTGCTCTTGAAGGTAAGTTTCTTACGATTGAATCGTTTTGAGGTTCTTAGCTCTGGCTGGGTTTAGGTCTTTGCGAGATTGAAAAGCTTGCAACTTTTTGATGATTAGGGTTTATCATTGAAATTAATTGGAATCTAATGTGTTTTCAGGGAAAGATGTAATTGGACTTGCGCAAACCGGTTCTGGTAAAACCGGAGCCTTTGCAATTCCTATATTGCAAGCACTTCTTGAGTATGTTTATGATTCTGAGCCTAAGAAAGGACGTAGACCTGATCCTGCTTTCTTCGCTTGTGTTTTATCTCCAACTCGGTATCATTCGCTTATCGAGTTTCTTCTTGTGTTTACTTTGTGGTTGGTCATTCTTATGGAATTTGATTCTTCTGTTTACTTTCTCTCCAGAGAGCTTGCAATCCAGATTGCTGAGCAGTTTGAAGCTCTAGGAGCTGATATAAGTCTTAGGTGTGCTGTGGTAAGCTCATGCTTTAACCATGTTTACCACAATTTTTACCTTCCTGCTAATTGACTGGATTTTAAAACTGAAAATATTAACTGGTTTTTTTTTCCAGCTTGTTGGAGGTATAGACAGGATGCAGCAAACTATTGCTCTTGGGAAAAGGCCTCATGTTATTGTACGTTTTCTGTTCTCATCTTAAGGTCATTTGTTTGAGCCTCTGCTCTTATCGTAAGTGAATCTAGTAGCTAAGTATGGCTTGTTTTTTCATAGGTTGCAACACCTGGTCGTCTTTGGGATCATATGTCTGACACAAAAGGCTTTTCTCTGAAATCATTGAAATATCTGGTAAATTTATGCTTGGTCTTTTTCGTTTTGGTGTTGTCTGTTCTTAGTTTGTATCATTTTTGTATTTACTTCACATTATTCAACAGGTTCTTGATGAAGCAGATAGACTGCTGAATGAAGATTTTGAGAAATCTCTTAACCAGATTTTGGAAGAGATCCCTCGTGAACGCAAAACATTTCTTTTTTCAGCGACTATGACTAAAAAGGTAGGAACCTTGTTTGAGAGTGTTGTGGTTTTGATCGATCAAACTATCACTCTATAATCTTTTGGAGTGGAAGATTAAAAAGGAACATCGTGTTAAAGTCACTGAATTTGTTTTGGCCTTTTAGGTTCGAAAACTTCAAAGGGCATGTTTGAGGAATCCTGTGAAGGTATGGAGACACTAAATGACTGGAATTATGTCTTGTCACAGCTATCATATTTTGAGGCTATAACAGTTGTAAATTTGTTACTTTCCTCCAGATTGAAGCTGCCTCCAAATATTCCACAGTCGATACTCTTAAGCAGCAGTATCGGTTTGTTGCCGCTAAATACAAGGTACATTATTTACATCACAGAGTATATAAATAGTAGCAAACACATAAGAAAGTTTCATCTTCTTTGATTATAATGGCCCTTTTTATCACTGTAACAGGATTGCTATCTGGTATACATTCTGAGTGAAATGCCTGAATCAACATCAATGATTTTCACCCGGACATGTGATGGTACTCGCTTTCTGGCTTTGGTGCTTCGGAGCCTTGGTTTTAGAGCCATTCCTATCAGTGGTCAAATGACTCAGGTAAATGATACGTTCCTATTTCTAAACATTTCTTGACCTTTTCTATCAAAATTTTCTCATTCTTTTTGAAATGTTCACAGTCAAAAAGACTGGGAGCTTTGAATAAGTTCAAAGCAGGGGAATGTAATATCTTGGTTTGTACCGATGTGGCTAGTAGAGGTCTTGATATCCCTTCGGTTGATGTGGTTATCAATTATGATATTCCCACAAATTCAAAGGTTAGCCCTTTTCTTTCTTCAGATGAATGAGTTTTTTTTTCTTGTTTCTCATGAATCCATGATCTTGAGAACTCGCATTGATTTTCCAAATTTGCCTCAGGATTACATCCACAGAGTAGGAAGAACCGCTCGTGCTGGACGTTCTGGTGTTGGGATATCACTTGTAAATCAGTATGAGCTCGAGTGGTATATACAAATAGAAAAACTCATTGGTAAGTAAAAAAACTATCGGATACATTTTTGTTGTTTTATTCTATCATGGGATACAGACATTTGACTATTTTTCGACATTCAGGCAAGAAACTACCTGAATATCCAGCTGAGGAAGATGAAGTCTTGTCATTGTTGGAGAGAGTTGCAGAAGCGAAAAAGTTATCTGCAATGGTATTATTACTCTGCACTTGTAGTACAACATGTAAAAATGTTAAATAGTTTTTGCTTATAACTTTGATTTAAAGAGAATTGAATTATGTTTTCTGGCAATATTTGTTATAGAATATGAAAGAATCAGGAGGTAGGAAGAGAAGGGGAGAAGATGATGAAGAGAGTGAGAGGTTCTTGGGAGGTAACAAGGATAGAGGCAACAAGGACAGAGGTAACAAAGACAAGAAGTCATCTAAGAAGTTCAAACGATAAATGGCTCTGTTTTTATTGTTTTCCGATAACTCACCAAAGTTTTGAATTGAAGTTTTCCATATGAGCTAAGGAAATTTAATCTATTTTGTACTTGTAATTTGTATTTTTCTATTTGCTTTGTTTCTCAAAGACAGAGATTATGCTATTGAAGTTAAAAAAAGATTTTAAAAGCTCTGGTGTCTGTTCTTGCCTTCTTGGTAGCTCTTGCAGCTCTTTATTTTTTCTTTAATTTGCAGAAATCTGACTAAAATGGTTTCGGGTTATATGGTTTCCTGTTCCCTAATACCTTCAACGAATCAGATAAACAGGTCATGTTCACTTCTGCTCACTTTTAAGTACAAAACTAAGAAGTAAGAACATCTTTGAATAAAGAACACAACTTTATAATGGATTTCTTATGAAATTGAATGTTTATGAAGAGTACACATTACCCAAAGAAAGATTGAAGGATGAAAAACAAAAACGAGGGAAAAAAATGCAAGAATATTGAAAAACTAAACCGACAAAAAAAGCCAATACCACATCAACTCAACGCAAGTAGTAGGCAAAAAGAAAGATGCAAAACAAAAATTAAAAACTACTCTCTTGTAGAGGCACCGTTAAAAGCAAAGTCAAGATGAACCACCACCGCGAGACCCACCACGACCTCCTTCTCCGCGGCCTCCTCTTCCACCTCCTCCGTTTTGAGGAACTCTTTGGTAACCTTCTCCTCCATTTCGTGGGTTTGAGCTCTTTGGTCTACCAGAAAACTCACCTCCACCTCCTCCTCTTCCATAGCCTCCTCTTCCTCCACCACCGCGTCCTCCTTTGAAGCTTTCATTTCGGAAACTTCCTCTTCCGGAAAAGTACCTCCCCCTACTACCTCCATTGTTGCCTCCTCCTGCGAAAAAGATTAACCACATCTTTTCAATACACAAAAACTCTTCACTAAACAGCTTTTTCTTGATGAGGTCTCTCATGTTTGTTACCTCGACTATTTGTTTTCTTCTCCTCTACAACAGCTTGACGATCTCCAATTGTAACTGGTGAGGCCTACATGTACCAACCCAAAGAGTCAAGACTTTCTGAATCAACCGAAACATATACCAGACACCTGAGCTCGAAAAGACTTGGGATTAAACGCGGAGTAACAAGGCTTTGGTTTACCTCAAGCGCACTCTGCTTTCCGCTAGATGTTTCAAATTCCACAAAACCAAAACAGAAACCTTGCTGCTGAGAGTCACAAAACCGTGTAAGGAACCAATAAGCAAGGGGTTTTGGAGGAGATTGTAGATTTATATATCAAACCTTATTGCTTCTGACTTGAATCCCCTCATGCTTGATTGCACCAAAGTTCTTGAACACCTCTTCAAGTTGTGTTGGTGTGGAGTCAAACGGCAAATTTCGAACATATATCGAGTGACCATCATCTATAATAACAAATACACATAAAAAACAAAAAAGTAACGAAATCAATAACCAAGGGATTGCGTGTATTCAAACAGCAAAATGAAAAGAATTTAAGGACCTTCCACATCAACATGGCTACTATTTGGAACACTCTCATGAGCTGACGCCTCGGGTCCTGCTGCGGGCTTAGCAGGAGGAGCGGTTGGCCTTTGGTTGAGTGGAGCTGGTCTTGGCTTGTTCCGAGCAACGTGTGTTGGTGCTGGACTGCTTTTCATCTGCTTGAGCTATTGAAACACACAAAAGACTTCATAAGGACTACCAAACAACAGAAAAACAATCTTGAGAAACAACAAAAGAATTGAGTTGGTAGGCGGTTTCTACTCACGATTGAAGCATAAGAATGCTTAGGAGCATCTCCTTGAGACACTGATAAAATTTCATTATGACTTATTTGAGTAGGAGGTTCGATAGGGTCAACGTCAACAACAACTCCTTCATCTTTATCAGAAGGATCATACACTTCCGCCAAATTGTCAAGATCTTCTTCCTCGATAGAAGCAACTGGCTCGGGTTCTACCTCGGGCTCGTGAGTAACAATAACACGTTCTGACCAGAAGTAAGCAGATGTTAATATTCTAACCTGAATTAACGGAGTGCTATGTATGTGCTAGGAAACAAAAAATCGTACCTGGTTCCACGGGAGCCTGAACATCCCTGGTGGTTCCATTTATGGGAACAGAGCGGGCTTGTGCCGTCACCTCTTTCTCCTCGAGGAATCGAAACACGTCGTTTAAGACAAAGTATCCCTTGTCTTGTGGAGCCAAGAAAAAAGTTTGACTGAACTTCTTCCTCACATTATCGTTTCCAGTTAAACGTCCTGTAACCAGCACAATAACACCTCTCTCATGAGACTCCTGAGCATCCGCAGTTTCTATCTCAGCTGTGTAGTCTTCGTATTTCAACGACAGAATCTTATCGTTGATCGCCTAAAATCCAAAGCAAAACCAAGTTAATATAACTCAACAACAATAGCAATGTTATAGTAATTGACTTAACAATCTCACTTGCATAGTTGTGACAGTAGTCACAGCACCGGTAACATCAGGTCGGGTTAACAAGCTCGAATCTTGATAAAACCGATGAACTAAACCGGGAGATTGGTGAAGAATATGATAGTATTGCTCCACAAAGGCACGACCAACAACCTCAGCACCAGGGGAAGGACTAGCTTCCTGCTGTGCCATCTACACTCAACATATATATACAGTGAGAATCAAAATTAACATAGCTCAAGTTTAACATTATCAATAATCAAACACTGTGTTGTATTATCTTTGAAGTAAATCGTTTTGATCAATAACCTAAAGACTGATTTGATTTCGTAAAACTCAGATAAAATAAAAGTCAACGATCTAATAGAAAGTCTAAGATTTCACAGTTCTGGATGAAATTAAGCTCTCTCACACACACACACAAAACAAAAACCCTAAAAGTAATAGAAGATCACAACACATATTACAAGAAGAACACTAATTTAGAAACGGAGCAATAACAAATAAAGAAATTTCGGAAATGCTTTTCAGAAAATGAATCGAGAAGAAAAGTATCTGTTAAAGAATGAGTCAGATCAAGCTCGATATAGAAAGAAACAAGATATCAAGATTGGAGCAAATCAAGAAATGTTCAAAGAAATAGATCGAATAAGGAAAGAAGTGAAGTTGTGTACTTACAGTGATCTGAAGGAGAGAAGGACAAAGAGAGATCTGCTGCAGAAGCTACGAAACAGAGGAGAGGACGAGAGAGACAGCGACAGACGGAGAAAGAGAGAGAGAGTGTGAGAGAGAGAGAGAGAAAGTACCAAAGATTTGTTTAGTTTAGTTTAGTTCAGTTCAGTTCGATTCGGCCCAAGAAGACTCAACTTTGGGCTTCTCATTCTTTTTAGTACTCTCTTCTTTTTTGTTTTTAGAAAAAGTTGGGTCTTTCTTGTTCATTATTAGAAACTTACTAAAATAAGATTTACTTGCAAGTGAACTTGGGAATGGTTTTGGGTTGTATAATATAAAGTTATAAAACGTTCACAGATGTTGTTACTACGACACATATAAAAGATTAATGATAACAATTTCATTTTCTGATACGTTGCAAGATTAAATTAATAATGGACTCCATGTTTGAAGGTGTTGTTATTCATTAGAATTGAAGAATGACTAAGCATTGGACACAACTACGACTTCTCTAAAGTTATTATTGTATCATCGTTTTTTTTTTGGAGCATAACATTTAGAGTAAGCTAAAATTTTAAGAAATAAGTTGAAAAGAAAAATCATTTATGCTGTTAAAAACAAATTGAAACTCTATTTTGGGGTAGGAGGAGTTGCACCGGCAATTCTTGAACATTGTTCCTTTAGCATCGGAGGAAAAAACGGAATGAATGGAATTTTCGGCATGCAATTTGCTTCAGCGTCCAAAAATGCTTTGCAACAAGCCGGACCTAAGTTACCAAATTTTCCGGTGAATATGGATTGAGATATCTCTGCAATGCACCCCGGAATATCCATCACCGATGACAAACATTTTGTTATGTCAGGTAATCCTGGCATACCGGGAATCGGCTGGAACGGAAATGGAAAAGGAAATGGAGCCGGAAACTGTGGCAACTGAGCATTTGCAGAAACTATGATGCATAGAACCGTTATGAGTGAAATCACATTTTTAATAGACATAATGAGAAATTGAGTAAAAAGTGTTTTAGTATAGCCAAATATATGTTTAATGCTTTGTTTGTTTCTGATTGATGAACAACAATAAGATCCTTGCTTATTTATATGGAGTGAAATGTGAAACTGTGGTATTAATTATTTTGATTTAACGTCTTTGAATTTTTTTATTTATTAATATATGTCTTTGATTAGCCGTTTTATAAATTTAAATAGAGTTAAAACTCCAAGTGTGAAACGAGCAACATTAACTAAGAAATATTGACTACAAGAGGAAATATAAGTATAACCGGCCCCCATAATTAATCAGTCACCGGTATACATCTCCAAATCTAACCAATAAATCGATTTATAGGTTTTACATATATAAAAATTGAATCGATCTTAAGGTTTGGTTTCTAAAAGTTTCATACACAGGGGTTATTTCCATGACTTGCCATAAGGATTTCATTGGGTGAGGTTTTTGTGCCCATATGTTCTGAAATTATTCGAGGATTAGCTTTAGCTGTTAGCATTAATATTATGTGAACCTGAAGCTCGACTGTGAACAATCTTAAAGCCATTATGGTTTTCTGTTGATATCACTAGACTCTGGGAAGTATATTTACTTTAGTTTTTATATCTACACTTCTTGTTTGTCTCTTTCTATGACAAGAGACCACAATAGCTTTTACAATTCAGTTTGTTAGAACAGATACTTCTTCGTGTCCTTGTTTGCCACTGAAATTGTAATTGGTTTTAGAGTTTGAGATTGGGCTTATAAAGTTATGATCAACTTCAGCCCAGCCTACCGGTTAAACCCAAGTCAGTTAATTTACTATTCACATAAAAACCAAAAAACTTTAGTTATGGCAGCTTTCGTTATGGCTGTTGTCTCAGTATTTTAAAACTTCCGTACTGCAACTTTAGTTATTGAGGCGTGTTGTAATGTATAGTATAATTCTTAAAACTGAAAATGACTAGTAAATACTGAGTTCAATGATTGTTGTAGTGTTATTATTATCTCATTGCATACAATACCAAAAAATGAAACATAATTCAACTAAAAAGAAAAGCTAACATCATTATATTAAGAATTTCATTTTGGGATAGGAGGAACTGCGCCAACAATTTTTGAGCATTGTTCCTTTAACATAGGAGGGAAAAACGGATTGAATGGGAGTTTTGGCATGCAATTGGTTTCGGCGTCCAAAAATGCTTTGCAGCAAGCGGGACCTAGATTACCGAACTTTCCAGTGAGAATCGATTGAGAAATCTCTGCAATGCATCCTGGAATATTCATCACTGTTGACCAACATTTTGTAATATCGGGTAGTCCTGGCATACCAGGATTCGGTTGGAATGGAAATGGAAAAGGAAATTGTGGTAGTTGAGCATTTACGGAGATCAAAACGCACGTAACCGCTACGAGAAAAATCACATTTTTGATAGCCATGATGAGAACAAAAGAAAAAGAAGTTTCAAAGTTTGTTTTTTTTCTTTACTCGAGTTTGTTTTGAATGATGAACAATACTAAGATCCTTGTCTATTTTTATATGGGAAGAGATGTGCTAAGGTATTATTGTCGTATCGAAACGTCTTCGAAATTTTATTTCGTATTTAATTAGCAGTTTCGTTTTTGAGTCTGATTTAATTAGCAGTTTCTTAAAATGAAATAGAGTCCAATCTCCTCTATTCCAAATTAATGAGACGCTCGACATTGTTTAGAAAATATTGACTGTTTGACTAATTGAGAGGAGATGAATTATATAACCGGTGGAACTTAACCAAACCGGAATAGCTCAGAATTAACCGGTTAATTATTAATCCTTCGGTTTGATTTGATTATATTCATTACTCTTAACTCGTTAACGAAAAGGGCTCTCTTGCATCCGGAGACAATGTCAACTACCATCCCGGAGATTCAACGCCGCCGATTGAAACGCACGCTTTGAAGTTCTGATGTTGAAGAAGAAGAGATGGTTCACTCGAAAAAGCGTAGAAGAGTTCCAAGAGGATGAGAACGCGTCTGACGGAGAGTCGAAAGAGTAAAGGATTAGTAAAAAATTGTGTTAAGGTGACAATTTGTTGCAGGTTTATACGTTTTTTTTTCTTCGTTTTTTCTACCAATGGATTAGTTTTTGTGTTGCACATATATAGCCGACTTTGGTGGGGGAACTACTTCTTAATCAGTACACTATGTTTAGGTTAGTTTAGTCAGTAGAATTTGGTTCTATGTTTAGTTTAGTTTTGTTATCCAATGGGTTGCTGAATTATTATTTCAGGTCAATCAAGACAATCATCTTATTTTTATTGATCCATAAACCCTAAATTTCCTACGTACTTTCCCTTTACTGTGCTATGTATTTTTACATATACATATAGAATTAAGAGATAAAACTTTTGAATAGATGATTAATTTCGAGATGTCTGACTCTGAGTCTCTGACTAGCTGTTTTATTTATCTCCTCTCTGAGTTCTTGACACACTAAAGTAAATTAAAAATGCTAATAGAAATTTATGAACTTACATGTTCTTTTTTTATTTTTTTGATCTCTGATACTAAAAGCCAGTCTCAGCCATTATACTGCATACATGTTCCACAGCATTTGTTAAAGTTCAATGCATGGAGTACAGTTTTGAGTCATGGGATTGCTTTATTTTTCTAGGTCCAAGCTCGAAAAAAAAAAACCATTATCCTCAATAATAAGTTATTTGTCAATTGTCTCCTTTGCTTATTGCTCCCCCAGACATTAAAGGCACTTCACTACTCTACAGTAACTTTCCGACTGCATTTTCTCGTCCTTTGCAGGTTTATATCTTCCCCTTTGTCTCCTCTCAATCCCTCGAGGCTCTTTGGCTTACCGACAAAGAAAGGAATCTAAATGAATACTATTACAAAACAATATTCAACAAACAGAGTCAATTTGTCTAACGTTATGGGTACTTCCTTGACTTCCATATCCAATATTTATCCATAAAAGCCAATAATTGTCTTCGCATCTAAAACCCTATATTATACATTTTTGTCTTATATGGACCCGTGAATTATTAATATTATTATATTTTTTTCCCAAATATGAAGAGATCGATAGAGAGTTGGTTTTGATATTGTAACAGTAAAAACACAGAGAGAAACGAGTAGTTTCAGTGCAGCAAACTCTGGAGACACACTTTACTACGTCAATAATACAAAAAGGAGAAGCAGTTATGTATGTATGTCATAATGTCAGCATCTGCATGTATATACATATAAGTATAAAAATATATGGGGGTGTGTGTATTTATGTGGTTAAATAATTTACTTTTTGGTGGGTTTTACTCCTTTTGGTGTTGTCTCTTACAAGGACATGTCGTTGTCTGTCTCAGCATGAGCCTTCTGCATTTACTGGCGTTCAGACCCGAAAACGACGGCTCAGTACCAAAAGACAAGAAAAGAAGAGAAGACGTTCTTAGGCTATCGTGTATAGTGTTCACTGTAGATAATGAACGACACCGTTTTCAGTCCTTTGTTTCGATTCTCTTGTAGTTGAAATTAATAAAAGAGAGATGTGGATGTTATGATTCGTTGATATCACATAACACGCAAGTATGCAAATTTGGATATTTTTTGATCATTTGTTAGAATTCTGGTATGTAGTCCAATTTGTACACGTTCTGATGGCGATAGCTTTAAGACCAATCAACTTGTCTTCTTCTTCTTTTTTTTTCTGTGGAAAATTACACAGTTCCATCATTTTCGTTTTGATAATTCCTTATTATTGAGATTCTGTTGTTTACACTGTTCATATTAGATCACACAAGTCAGTAAATTGGCGCAAAAAAAAAATTAGGAGGAGGACTGGAGGAGTTAGTTAGCTATTTTTTGAGATTTTTTTTTCAACCTTGATAAAAGTATGAATGAATTTATACTAGGAAACAAAGATGCTTTAATTGACCTAAAATGTCTTTGATGGTTAAAGATTTAAAGAAAACAACATGTTGTGAGTTTTGGATGCAAGAAACTGTGTTCCCACATCAAAAGACAAAAATACGTACTAATTTGTTTATTCCTACCAAATTTTCATTTGCAACCACGAGAAAATTAATCTTTTATTAATGGGTGATATGATGCTAATTAGTATTTCATCCGTTTCGAATTACATGTCGTTTAAGGTTTTATATATAAATTAAGAAAATAATTAAATTTTTTGTTTAATTTTTTAATGATATATTCTACAAGTTTTTTCATTAGTCAAGAAAACAGTAGGAATAGAACTATAATTTTTACCAAAAACTTGCATTGAAAATTTAAAAAGATATCTGTTATGAAATAAATTTTAAGTTCTAAAATGAAAATTTAAATGAAATGAAGGGAGTACCATTTTTCTTCTCTGACATCTACAACATTTCTTACAAGTCGTTAATATTCAATTTAAATTCCACTGTAAGACAGAGAAATCCCTAAAACGTAATTATGTTGAAGAAAAGTACAGGCAGGCATGTAAACATTCTTAAAATGACGTAACTAATATATAGAGTAAGTTAGGGTTTAAACTTTAAAGTGCCTAGATCTATTTAGTTTGACATAATATGTCAAGAAAAGCAACCAGGTTAATTATTATTAAAAAAAAACACATGGAGAACTTATTTGAACTGACTGTATTTAAATTTGGCAGAGCTTTCAAATAATTCAGCCCAAAGTCAGAAGTGTCGAACATATATGTGTACAAACATACAACTGTAACGTATATGGTATATATTGTCTGTATAATTAAGGATCTTATGTATATATGATCCAAAAGTCGGAGGAAATTAAGCCCAGAAGCTCAAGTCACATCATCATCACCATTCAAAATCATCCCTATATTCTCTACTTCTTCTTCGTTCGTGCAGCCCGTAGAGACTTTTTAATACACATACGTATATATAAATACTGACCTATGATTCGGTTGCTTTTTTTGTCAACATGATGATTAAGTTAAATTATGTGTATACAAAATGCAGGAACAACTTTTATACCCATAATTCGATGCAAAATCCTCTGTCATCGCAAAAATTCCCTGCAACGTGATATTTTGAATAGTTTTTTTTTTGTTTTTTTTACAGCTTATTTTAAAAAACTTGAATTTACGTATATCAATTTAAAGAAATAAAGGTTTTGGTTTTGACAAACGTTACCAAACCAAGCAATGACTAAAGGCGGCTTTGTAGTGGGCTGCTTTAGACAACGGTAGGTTTGGCAAGCTTCTTGTTGTTGAGACGAAAATTTTGTTGTGAGTTTTATGAACATATATCATAATTAATATTGTTGCGACATATTCGAACATAAACGCCGAAGTTAGACCAATATACCACTGACACCATCTATATAAAAGTTATTACAAGTCTATCACAGTACCAAAAAAATAAAATGTACAAGTCTATCACTATAAATAATTTTCGTGTTGAAAAAATACCACCATATCCAGAATTATGCATGGAAATGCCTTTATGAAGGCTACTAAGCACTTCCTTAAAACGAATTGTGAGATTTTGGAAAACAAAACTAAATGTATTGTTTCTCTTATAATATTTATATAAATTTTGTTTGGAGAATATATATATATATATATATATATATATATATATATATATATTGGAGAAAATTTTGATACAGTAATCAAAACCATTACAAATGGATATATTACATAATCAAAACCACATCGAGTTCTTAATTTGGAACCGTACACTATGCAATAACACACAATATTCTTCGTAAACAAGCAGTGGGTTAAAGGCGCGGTCAATTATAGAAGACTTTATAGTAGTGATATCAAGTTGGATACAAGGAGGAAAGAAAATTGGTGTATGATTTGTGGGCAAAAATCTCAGTGGCAAAGACACTTAGAAGAGGAGTGGTCCACAAATCTCTTTGTGAGTATTTAAGCATTAGATGCTTTAAAGAAAAACCTATACTCGTTGGTCCATTCTCTATCTCAGAGACAGACCCTTACCTCCTCTAGCTGTCAATCTATATATTATATTTACTTATATATATGTTGTTATGAAAAAAAATTATATATATGGATATTTATATGCTTAAAACATAACCCACTAGTAGTTAATTAGAAATAAAAGCAGTATTCCCAACAGTTTGATTTTAACAAGTCTACATTTCATTATCACTAAATTTAGGGTTTCAACAAGTTGCTTCGTTAATAATGTAATTCACCAATTTCTCTACAAATAAAACTTTCCATTTTCGAAACGACAGTCAAATGAAGCGAGCGTCTGTATATATTGGTCTTTCCATTTATTATGAAACATTTTGGATTTACTAAAAAAAAATTTCATAAAATTTTCAAATTCTTGTATGTTCAAAGTTCAAACCACTTGTACCATTATTCTACATGTACATCTTTTCACTTTTAAAGCTCTTGTTAACATTTAGAACTATTAATTTTTAACAGTACGCTTTCTCTTAAATGACTTTTAACCGTATGTTTATATTTTTGTTACCAACGAAATTAAGATAAGAAAACAACAGATCACACACTTAGGGTAAAAATTAGATTATATAAAAGTGAAAATGAATGTCTAAAACCAAGGAAAGGGAACCAAAACTTGAATACTAAAATATATTAAAATTTATGTCGACCAAAAAAAAAAAATATATTAAAATTTATTGTAGAAAAAAAATTATTATAAAAGGTTTTTTTTTGTCAACTAATAAAGTTTTTTTATATAAAAAATTTATGTGACTGTGAGTGTTACGAAACATGCACATTCCCATCACAGTATCAATACACTACATAAATTGATCCTCTTTTGTCCTTCTGCATAAATTCCTTTTATACCAAAAAAAAAAACCCTAGGGATTGGAATATGATATTTAAAAATATATTTAATTCATTTATTATTAAACTTCCCCAATCATTATAATATACATATATAATTCTGTTTCCAAAAAAAGAAATACTTCACATTCCTCTGCCTCCTTATCTCTTCCTTACTCTTCTTCTTGTTCCTTCTTCTTCTACTTCCGTATCAAGCTAGATCTTGAATTAGGACTCAAGCTTACCAGTCTTCAATCGACGTAAACTGTAAGAACATATAATCTTCAACATGTTTGATTTTCAAATTCTTATGAGCTTTCTTATCTTAAATGCAAAATCAAGAAAGAGATCAATCATATCAATTTTGCTTTGTTTCCATGTGAATTTTGCTCCAAATTTTTTTATTAAAAGCAAAAAATGTCATCACTTCACCTCAATTTCATTCCATTGAAAGCTATATATAATTCTTGTCTTCTTGATTTATTTTCTATTAAATTGGTCAATTCATTTCCTTATTGTTTCAGATCTGTTCTTTATACCAAATTGAGTGAAGATCTTGTTGAGTGAATTAAAAGAGATGAGATCAAGAGAATGTGATGAAGAGGAGATACAAGCAAAGCAAGAAGGAGATCATAATCAAAATCATCAAGTAAATTTAAACCACATGTTGCAACAGCAACAACCGAGTTCGGTATCATCTTCAAGGCAATGGACTTCAGCTTTTAGGAATCCAAGAATCGTTCGAGTCTCAAGAACATTCGGTGGCAAAGACAGACATAGCAAAGTCTGTACGGTCCGTGGTCTTCGAGACCGGAGGATAAGGTTGTCCGTACCTACAGCTATTCAACTCTACGACCTTCAAGATCGATTAGGGCTGAGTCAGCCAAGCAAAGTCATCGATTGGTTACTCGAAGCAGCAAAAGATGACGTCGACAAGCTACCTCCTCTACAATTCCCACATGGCTTTAACCAAATGTATCCAAATCTCATCTTTGGAAACTCCGGGTTTGGAGAATCGCCATCTTCAACTTCATCAACAACGTTTCCCGGAACCAATCTCGGGTTCTTGGAAAATTGGGATCTTGGTGGTTCTTCAAGAACAAGATCAAGATTAACCGATACTACTACGACTCAGAGAGAGAGTTTTGATCTTGATAAAGGAAAATGGATTAAACACGACGAGAATAGTAATCAAGATCATCAAGGGTTCGACACCAATCATCAACATTTTTCACTGACCAATCCTTACAACAACACTTCATCTTATTACAACCTCGGACATCTTCAACAATCGTTAGACCAATCCGGTAATAACGTTACTGTCGCAATATCTAATGTTGCTGCTAATAACAACAATAATCTCAATTTGCCTCCTCCTTCCTCGTCTGCTGGAGATGGATCTCAGCTTTTTTTTGGTCCTACTCCTCCGGCAATGAGCTCTCTATTCCCGACATACCCTTCGTTTCTTGGAGCTTCTCATCATCATCATCATGTCGTCGATGGAGCCGGTCATCTGCAGCTCTTTAGTTCGAATTCAAATACCGCCTCGCAGCAACAGATGATGCCAGGTAATACGAGTTTGATTAGACCATTTCATCATTTGATGAGCTCGAATCATGATACGGATCGTCATAGTAGCGATAATGAATCAGATTCGTGAAAGATTTCATATATCTACACTATACATAAACATGTTATATGTATACGTATTCTTCAATATTTTGATATATATATATATATGACGTATTGTTGGATTGATTTATGTATCTTCTTCGTGTATGTATAGAAATTTTAATAATCTCGGATTTGGATTCGAACAAAGACATTCATCATGCGAGGATGGTTGTTATTTCTATATATTTTTGAGTTTGATTTAGCTTTTTGCTTCCTATTTGAAATTAGATGATTTCTGCTTGAATGTCTTTCTCTATTCATTTATGAATATATATACACTCAAATAAATGAATTGTACAATATAGGTATCCCATAACTATCTAGCACTTTCACCTTCATGTATGATTCTAGATTAGTAAATCGTCTTTGTTAATTATATATATCATAAGTAAGGATTTGGGTTTTAGAAACATGGAGAAAGTGAAAAAAAAAACCGGAAAGAACAAATATATTGTTCAAAATAAGATGGAAGAGAAACCGATTCAGATACCAAAAAAAAAAAACAAGAGTAATATGATAACCCTAATTCAACTTTAAACCGTAAATCTAGGTCCATCGAAATCCATATATATGATATATCTACTGCCAACGTATGATCATATATATTCAAAGCATTTCACCATTGGCATCACAATGTTACTAAAAAAACATTTTGTAATTTTTTGACAAAATATGATATGATCTATCTTAATCATCAATATGCAATGATTAAAAGTCAGGACTTGAATATAATATCGTATCTACAAATTTTGATATTTATCGAAAACTGCGAATTTTCCAGTTTCTACCGCGATCTATTGCTATATATTCTTGTAGTATATATATGAATGTATATAGGAAAGTCATGTTGTGCACAGTTCAAATGAAAGAAATAGAAGGCCCGGGTCGTTGCTTGTCATGTGTCAGAAAAATACCAATAAGTTTCAAATAATTTTATGTCCACAATCATTCATTTTCATATAGCTACGTATATTTGTACGAGCATATTATGAATGTATTCACATGAACATAAATACATGCATATATATTATCTATATATATATACGAATTCAGAAGTATATAGGTTACTGTTCATAATGCCTAGATGCACGGCAATAGGTAATGCATGCCAAACCCTAGCCTCGTGTGTATATATGCGTCACACCCACAATCATGTACATATAACATATGTATACACATGTGAGTAATGTTCTAATTAAGTGGTTACCAAAAAAAATGTGAGCATGTGTAAATATACAATAATAGTATATGTAATAAGGCAAATTAGTTGAAATACCTAACGTTTTTCTTTTAGCAAAAAATAGCTAACGTTTTCCTCATCTCCGTATTTGCTGACTTTTGATCAATGTCTCAAATATCAAAGTTCAAAAATAATCGCTGGTACGGTGGTTTTTTGTCGACACACACGACTGATTTCAGAAAGAGAGCTAATAAATGTGATGGGATTATATTCATAAGTACATTCATTCACATTCACGTGTGTGAGGCGGGAGAGAGATTATATATAGATTTAGGTCGAAGTAATGCAGAGATGCAAATGATAAAATATGGTTAACATGCTTATTTATTTGGAACAATTACAACGTTTTCGTTAGATACTTAATAATTATTCTCCTTAATTACATATTAATTTTATTTGTTTCAAACTACAGTAAGTTCTGTTTCTTCATACATATTTTTAGAAAAAAAATTACAAAAATTTTCACCCTTTACTTAATTATTTTGTGAATTAATGAGAAAATCATGAACCACACTTGACTTAAAACATAAGACAGTCTAAATTAGTTACTTCAAATTGAATCTTATAATTGTTTATTGGTTATTCTCTTTCTGATGCATGTATATGTACATTTAAGGCTTTTCATTCATGACGTACGTATATACTACGGCTTAGATCAAACAAAATTTGCAACTTTTTTTACAAACTTGTACATTTAAAAAAAAAAAAATTGTACTACAAAAATAATCATTCACTTATTAATCTCTTGGATCCTATGATTCCTACCACATATTATTGTTAAAAAGTCAAAAAAAAAATTGTCAATAATATGCTTCACAAATCTATCCCCATATAACTCTAGGTGTACACTATATGAACGTTCTCTGCTTCTCTATATATATGTCTTTATTTATCAGTTGAACCTCCTTAGAGCATGAATATTGGTTGAAATGTTGAGTATCTTAGACAAATCTTAGGATTAAAGTTGATTAAAAATAATCAAACCAACATCTTAAAGCTAAAATTTGTATCTAAGTTAAGATGTTTTTCTTAACTTAAGATGTTGCAAGGTGTCACATTGTGATTGGTTAAAAGTGATATGTTTTGATACGTATTGGTGATATGTTTTGATACGTATAAATTTTATACGTATAAATTTTATTTTTATATTGGTGATATGTTTTGATACGTATAAATTTTATTTTTTGATATGTTTTGTCAATTGGTGATATGTTTTGATACGTATCAATTTTATTGGTCAATTGGTGATATGTTTTGGTCAATTGGTGATATGTTTTGGTGATATGTTTTGATACGTATAAATTTATTTTTATATTAATATTTTTTTTCTACGTATTTTCTGTTTGATAAAAGTGATATGTTTTGATACGTATAAATTTTATTTTTATATTAATATTTTTTTTCTAAGAACCACATGTTAAGAACCTACCATTAATCACACAAAAATCTTAACCCAAAAATACTATCTCTTACCTATCACTTTTACAAATATATTACTTAAATATTCCTAAGATTTATTTCTAAGATACTACCAATAATCATGCTCTTAGACCACCATTATCCATGGGCTCTTAGCCAAATCTTAAGGTAAGATTTGTGAAGAAAAAGCTTAAATATAAACCTAAAAGCTCTTATATAAGAGCTCTTTCTTCACAAATCTTAGCTTAAGATTTGGCTAAGATTCATCTAAGAGCCCATGGATAAGGGTGCTCTTATAACCTTGAGTTTGTGGTCATAATACCACCAAAATCAAATAAATAAAGAATAAATATGTAAAGAAAAAAGGAGAATTAAGTAGGATGATGGTGAGTATTGGGATTGGAGGGTCAGAGAAGGAAAGGGAAAGAAGAGAAGCAGTTAAGACAGCAACTGAATTGCAGTCAAGCACTGATCCCTATCTTCCAATATTAGTCATATCTCTCTCTCTCTTTCTTTTTCAATAACTCTCTCTCTCTATCCTCTTCTCCAAGTTGTAGGGTCATTAACCTTCCATTGGTAAATTATTGGTTTTGAAAACATAACTTATTTTCCTTTTGGGTGGTCCTTTTTGATCTGTTCTAAATCATGTGTTTAGATATAGATGGGCACACACTTGCCAAGAAAATTCAAAGATTTGCCATTAATTTCTTTTTTCCTTTTCAACCAAGATTCTATTAAATTCATTCATACACCACATCTCTTCTTATAGTTGAAATTTATAATAGGTTCATACTTAAAATAGGGTATTATTGCATTTATATCTCCTTTTAGTTTTTGAAGGATAATTAAATACTAACATTTAGAGCATGAAATTTTTAATAAAAAAAACTTATAAGGGGCATATATGAAGTAAGGTATAATGATAAGCGGTTATCTTATCTTACACATGTATAGATTAGATTATACATACTCAAGAGAATATGTACGTTTTTTAGAATCTTTTAGTGGCAAGAGATGATTTAGCTTAAATGGGATAATAATATATATGGTCCATATGATTATAAACTTCTTTTTCATCACCGGCATGCTTCAAAGTTAAGAGAGGAAGAAAGAAAAAAAAAACAGGTCCACTTTAGTTCATTTTCACATAATTCACTCACTTAGGCATGCAATTCTTTTTGTTTTCTCCTTTCTCTTTTTCAATTCTCTTTTTTATTTTCCCGCAATATATGGTACATTTTTTTAATCCTATTTTCTGTAGGTCACTATAAAAACTGTAGAAAAATTTCAGAGAAACCTTTATTACCAATTCTATAATTTTTTTAAATTTTGTTCTCATTGAAAGGATTCAATAACTCGACATGGAGATCTATCTGAACCTCTCATTTCTCAATATAGACTGTATAATATACAGTTTAGCTAGATTTTTTTAGGGTTCGAAATAATTTTGTTTTCTAATTATAGCTAGTTAACGGAGTTGTTGTAATTTCCATATAGTCTTAGATGTATATGTTGTAATTTCCATCTGGCTAACCAAAATGATGACGACGATATAATGCGTAAGCAAATTATGTGGAGGACCGGGACATAAGCGCACAAAGGGAACACACTATTGTTGGGCTTTAAAAAAAGATAAGAAGGGCTCACGAATTATCTAAAGAAATCAAAATCAATTTGAGCCCCCGGCGAGGATCGAACTCGCGGCCTTTCGCTTACGAAGCGAACGCAATACCACTATGCTACGGAGGCATCACGACCATGTAAAGGTATTTTAAAAATATAATTCGGTTAGTTATAGTATTCTCCATTATTTTCTAACTACTACTCTTTGACAATAAGCTCAAAGCGTAAGTGATGGGTTCTTCATGTACTGATGTACTGTACACATAATGTTATGAAGATAAAAGATTACGAAAAGAACCTTTGTGACTTCATCACTATAAAACTCACATGCAAACAAAGAAAATGATCAAGTCACAAAGACTCACATATTTCAATATAATTTTTGATTTTCGCTACGGAATCTGGAGGGAGATACGGTCTAATGAGTCATGATCGTTGCCTCATCTTTTTTTTTTATAAATATATTAACATTTTAGTTATTTTCTTATCTCATATTGTGTTACCGGCTACGAAATCAAAGACTTGAGAGTTCAGACGTATTAGAATGTGTGATTTCCATCATCGAGACATATTCTATTCACCATGTTTGCTGATTTGAATTTCAAATGTTCGTAATTATAATTACACAATTTTTTAAAAAAGATTAACCCCGTAACTATTTATTTATATGTCTATGTTCATGCAAAGCGTGGATACTTTCAGTAAAATGTCATATTATTAAACTGAAGAAAGATGAAACATTGAAAATTGAATTTTGTAGTGCTATTATTGTATTATTGTAGTTTTTGAATACAACATTTATCGAATCAACCATATTTAAAATATAATAACTTTTTTTCTGTTAAAAGACTCACATAATGTTTTAAAATTTTATTTTGATGCGCCAACAACTTTTGAACAGTGTCTCCTTATTAAAGAAGGAAAATTTGGCATGTATGGAATTTTTGGCAAGCAGTTATCTTCAGTGTTTAAATATGCCTTGCAACAAATATGACCGATGTCGCCCACTTTCATAGCAGAAATGGCTCGAGAAACTTCTATAACACATATTGGAAATTTCATAAAAGATGAATAACATTTTGTTACATGAGAAAATCCTGGCATACCATAAATCACTTTAAATGGATCATTAAAAAAAGACGAAAATTGTGGCAACTGAGCATTTACGGAGACTATGACGCATAGGACCATTAAAAGTGAAATCACATTTTTAATAGACATACTGAGATATTGAGAAGAAACAAGAAAACAAAACCTTGTTAGTATAGCAAAATATATGTTTAGTGGTTGATTTTGTTTTTGATTGATGAACAATAAGATCCTTGCTTATTTAAATGGAAGGGAACAAAACTAGGGTATTAATTATCTTGATAAACGTTTTTGAATTCTTTTAATAGACAATTAATTAATTAGCAGTTTAAAAATTTGAGAAGAATTGAAACTCCCAAATGTGAAACGAGCAACATTTGAGTAAGAAGTACAGTAATATGCAATAATTCTATGAAGACTCTATGCATTAATTGGAAAAAAAAAATTGCAAAATAAAATAAAATCTCGTTGTAGTAGAGTGGAGGTGCGGGGAATCGAACCCCGTGCCTCTCGCATGCGAAGCGAGCGCTCTACCATATGAGCTACACCCCCATTCGAGTGGAATCGAAATAAATGTATAATTATTTTCAAATTAAACAATCAAAAGGGGCTTAAACAAATCAAGGCCCAAAACGAAGCCCATTACTCAGGATGTTCCTAAATCTTGAACTAGGGTTTTATTCCATTTCCCTTTCTCACTCAGTTACCAATTTTCTCTCACTAAATCAGAAATGCCGCCGTCGTTACCGTCTCTGCAACTCCGGCGGCTTCTCCTCCGTAGCTTCATTTCTTCCTCCTCCTCCGTCAATACTCTTCAAGCTCAGTCCCGTCTCATTTCTTCCAAGCCTTCGTTTTCTCCTCTTCCCCCTTCCCGTACCTCTATACTCTCAACATTTCCTTCTAGATTCTTCTCATCTGAAACAAATGCGGAAACTTTGGATTCGAATGAGATCGCTCTCTCTTTCTCGAAGGAGCTCACTGGGAATCCAGACGCCGAGTCTCACGCCATTTCTCAGAGGTTCAATCTCAGCTTCTCCCACATCACGCCTAATCCCGATTTGATTCTTCAAACTCTAAATCTCTCACCGGAAGCTGGTCGCGCGGCTCTAGGGTTTAACGAGTGGTTGGATTCGAACTCTAACTTCTCTCACACCGATGAAACAATTTCGTTTTTCGTCGATTACTTCGGTCGTCGGAAAGATTTCAAAGGAATGCTGGAGATCATCTCGAAATACAAAGGTATAGCCGGAGCTAAAACACTAGAATCGGCGATTGATAGGCTTGTTCGAGCTGGTAGACCTAAGCAGGTCGCTGATTTCTTCGAGAAAATGGAGAATGATTACGGTTTGAAACGTGACAAAGAATCACTTACATTGGTTGTGAAGAAGCTTTGTGAGAAAGGTCACGCGAGTATCGCAGAGAAGATGGTGAAGAACACTGCTAATGATATATTTCCTGATGAAAATATTTGTGATTTGTTGATTAGTGGTTGGTGTACTGCTGAGAAACTCGATGAAGCAACTAGGTTAGCTGGTGAGATGTCTAGAGGAGGATTTGAGATAGGAACCAAAGCGTATAACATGATGCTTGATTGTGTTTGTAAGCTTTGTAGGAAGAAAGATCCGTTTAAGCTTCAACCTGAAGTAGAGAAGGTTTTGCTGGAAATGGAGTTCCGTGGTGTGCCGAGAAATACAGAGACTTTCAATGTGTTGATTAACAATCTTTGTAAAATCAGGAGAACCGAAGAAGCGATGACATTGTTTGCTAGGATGGGTGAATGGGGTTGTCAACCAGATGCTGAGACTTATCTTGTTCTGATCAGGAGTTTATATCAAGCAGCTAGGATCGGTGAAGGAGATGAAATGATCGATAAGATGAAATCAGCTGGATATGGTGAGTTTTTGAATAAGAAAGAGTATTACGGGTTTCTCAAGATATTGTGTGGGATTGAGAGGCTTGAGCATGCGATGAGTGTGTTCAAGAGCATGAAAGCTAATGGATGCAAACCTGGGATCAAGACTTATGATTTGTTGATGGGGAAAATGTGTGCGAATAACCAGCTAACTAGAGCTAATGGTTTGTACAAAGAAGCTGCTAAGAAAGGTATCGCTGTAAGCCCTAAGGAATACAGAGTTGATCCGCGGTTTTTGAAAAAGAAGACCAAGGAAGTGGATAGCAATGTGAAGAAAAGGGAGACTTTGCCTGAGAAAACTGCGAGGAAGAAGAAACGGCTCAAGCAGATCAATATGAGTTTTGTTAAGAAACCGCACAATAAGATGAGACGAAGAATGTGATGCTGATGATCTTCAATATCTGATAGAATTCTCTAAAGATTATGGTCTTTGTTCTTTACTTTTTTAAGATACTGTCAGGAATACTTGTCTGTTTGCTTGATTGCGAGCAAATTGTCCCAATAATCTTTTGTTTTGTGTCAATGTAACGTTTACCCAGAGTTCATGCTTGGCGCGAGAATCGTGAGATAAACTTAGGTGGTGTTATTCAATGATGGATTTTAATAGAATTGAAATCCAACACTAATCCAGTGTTATTAACCTAATGATTTTAAATCTAACTCTAATAGATTTTAAAGTTTGGTGTTATTCAACTAAGATTTAAAATGCTTCATTAAAATCCAGTGTTATTCAAAACTAAAAGACTTGTAAAATCTTTGTATATCAAATCATTTGAAATGAAACATCTTTGGAGTTTCATGAGTATCCGGGATATACTGCAGAGATTTTGAACTCCACACAAACAGATTGTCAAAAACAATAGCAGAAATCAAATCTAAACCTTTAAGAATTGACTTTAACTCCATGAGTGAATAACACCCCCTTAGGTTTCTTGGTTATTTGAATGCTTCTCTTGTACATCCAAGTTGAGTTTAATTATAAGGGATCAACTAACCATTGTTAATTATGATTTATTAAAGTCAAAACAAGATCCCGTGGATAAAGGCATAACAAAGTGGTACAACTGTGCAAATGTGTAAAAGTCAAAGTCGTCGCCTTGATCTTTCTTCTTCTTACAAAGTCTCTCTCTGTTCACTCTCGGAACTACAAGAATGGAGTCTATCTTCTCCACGATGATTGTCCTGCTCTTGCTTTCTTTTTCCTGCCTCATTTCTACAGGTAAATTTCTGAATGTGAAAAAGCAGAAGAAGATCTCTCTTCCTCTATACATTCACCTGCATTTGTCTCTTCTAAAACTGAAAGTCTTTTATGTTTTTTTGATCTGCAGAAGCTCTCACCAGCAACAATGGAAACATCACAATCAAATGGGATCTCATGAACTGGACGCCTGATGGCTACGTTGTAAGTTTTCTTCTTCGTCGTGTCTCACAAAATCTAAAAGTCTGCTTTAACTTCAAGATTGACTCCATCGCAGGCAGTGGTTACAGCCTACAATTACCAGAAACAACGTTCGGTTCCGGGATGGAAAATGAGCTGGAGATGGACCAGGAAAGAAGTGATCTGGAACATGTTTGGTGCAAAAACCACACAGCAAGGAGATTGTTCCATGTTCAAAGGAAATATCCCGCATTCCTGCGTTCGTAAGCCAACAGTTGTCGATTTGCTTCCCGGAACTCCTTTCAATCAGCAGATCGCTAATTGCTGCAAAAGTGGTGTCTTAAAACCTGGTTTAGAAAGTGCATTCCAGTTATCTGTTGGTAACGCTGGTAACTCGGTTAAGACTGCTCGGATGCCCGCGAACTTCATATTCACCGCACCTAAACAACAGTACATCTGTGGACCGAGTAAGAACGTTAGACCAACGAGGTTTATAACCGCCGACAAAAGGAGAACAACTACAGCCCTGAGTAAGTTTCCAACAGAAACAAACCTCGACAAATCTGTAATTCTGATTTTGAAGCTCACCTGCTTTGTTTTTGTTCTTTTGCAGTGACCTGGAACATTACTTGCGTCTTCCACAAAGCAACATGAAGAGGAATATTCTCACAAGCAAATCTATCTTCAGAGAGTTTGCATAGTACTGTTTTCCATGTATGGTTTTTGTTTTAAGACAATAAAAATACTACTTTGATTGAGTTGAGTTTCCAGAGTTTTTGTATTATCATGTATGGTTTATGTTTTAAGAAAATAAAAACACTACATCGATTGATTGGGTTTTCTTCTAAACGGATTCCTTCCAGAACCGGACTGATCTGTCTGTTCCACAAGTAACAAAGACTGATTCAACTGGCGAGTGCTCAATCCACCGTGGTGCACCGTTATGGTTAGAAGGCCACTTTGCCACTCTATCTGCGGTTCTAGCATCCCATGTAACGACCTCATTGCTTGCTTCATCTATGGAGATTACAAACTCTTCAGTGTCGTTAAAGATTGCCTGCATAACCCAACAGTGAAGGCCATTTAGAATTAGTCGACGGAGTGAATATTTTTCTCTCAAAAGGTTGAGAAAACGAGTCACCTGAGACCGCAGTTTTATCCGCTTTGCTCCAAGATATTCCTTTACCATTCGGCCTGAGCCTATTTCCCATAACTTAACTGTAGAATCCTTACCGGATGAGAGAACAAACCTAACAAAAGCCATATGATCAATCAATTGTTTTGCCATGAGCAAAAAACTAGAGATCTCAGAGAAAATGGATTGAATCTTCTTTCTACCTTTGATCCTTAGTGAACACTGCGCTTGTGACCTCTGATTTTGCATGTGCATTGCTAATGGAGCGAACACACTTTGCGCTAACCCCGTCAAAGAGTCGAATAGCTCCATCCTTTGAGGCTGTAATGTAGATGGATCCCGTGGAAGAATATCGCACCTTAAGAAACCAAGAATCTCACAGCCATGAATCCTTGATCATCTCAAGATATGCTTATAGAAAGCACAATGAACATTTATCAGATAACGAGTGACGTACCTGGTTAATGGCTCCACTTACTCCACTGTCTGGGAAGTTTGAAGGAAGAAAGCACTGATATGTGTTTACATCGTACAGATGTGGAATTGGATGATCGGTTCCTGCAAAGGCGAAGTTTTCAGTTTTGCAATATACTGAAAAGATTATCATCTGGATCATAGTTTGAATTCAAAGAGAAGAAGGTCTCTACAATAGAAAATCACCTGCAAGAAGAAACTCTCCTGACGGATGAAAAGATACAGAGCGCACATTATGGGTATCCTGCAGAATTTGGAGTTAAGAATTTGATGAGATGCTGTGTTTTTCACCATGTAGCTAAGCAGAAACTGATATAACAACCATGATCTCTACCTGAAAAACTTTGAATGCTCGTTTAGCCGTGGTTTTGGAGAAGTCGAAAAACCTATCCAAGTCACAAGAAATGACACAAAAACGAGTTGAACACAAACTTTTCTTGTAACACCAAGAGAATTCATTTAGGTAGAGAAAACGTAAATAGATACTTTATACAGCTGTCTTTGGCACTAGATATTAGGATTGTGCTTCGAGGGTGGAAATCAAGATCGTTTATGGGCTGCAAATGATTGTCACAAATTTAAGAGATATAAAAATCAGAACGAACGTGGCAAAACTTATGAAGAAAGAAAGGCTTACTTCAGCATGATCATAAAAAGTACGTATTAATGGTCGAGCTTGAGTATCTCCTGAAATCATCTGTTTAACTTTTGGCACCTCAAAGAAACAACACGGAATATCCACAGAACTATCAATTCTTGATGATGCTTGAAGAAAAAAGGTAGGTACAATGAATATTAAAAAAGTTTGGTACCTCAAAGAGCTTAATTGATGTGTCTGCACCGCCAGTTGCAAAAAACATTCCATCAGGACTAAATCTTGCACACCTAACAACGCTCTACAGAATTCGTAAGCTTATCAGCCAAAATAAAAAAAAAAGGTCGAAGAAAAACATTATTAAGGGTTAAACCAAGTTGTGTCTACTGAGACATAAGTAATGCAAATATATATATACCTTATGCTCTGATAGCGTCTTTGATTCATGCTTTGGGATAGTCTTTGATGACCCCTTCGCATGAGTAACACTAGTTGGAAAAATTCCAAACATTCTTTAGATGATAAGCATTTTTGATCTCATCTCTAATGAAACATAACTTATTGCAAAAAGGGACATCACCTGAAGTCGATAGAAGCTGTTCGAGGAGTAGTGATTGATCCATAAGAAGAAGGTAACAAGACTGAGGAAGAAACACCTCTCAATGTCCCATTGTTCTCCGCTGCAAGACCCTGTTCTCATCTCAGAACCAAAACATTTCTTCTGATTTTGACCCATAGAACCAAACATCTCCCAGACACTCCAAAAACATAAAGCATAGAGATACTTCAGAGTGTGGAAAAAGGGGTTCAAAACAAAAACCTTTGCAACAAGCTCTAGAAGACGGTTTGGAGGAACCTCAATATACAATGGTGTCATCGTTGCTGATGCAACCACACTTGCAACCTGAAAATTTGATCTCAAAAATCAACACTTTAACCATTCAACAGTAATGAAAAATCCAAACTTTACCACTTAACTACTCTTCTAAAACCTCATCCTTTATATATTAATGACAAAAGAACACATGATTCATCTCCAGAACTAAAGGAGCTTCATCTATAAATGAATTTCAAAGTTTCAAAAAAACAATCCAAAAATAGATAGACCCAGAAATCCCAATCCAAATTGGCGTGTGTATGTAAAGATACAAAATTTGAATCAGAGTAAGATGAAGAATGAATGATAGCAAAAACATACTTGTGAGAGATTGTGATGACGGAGATGAGCTACAATGAGAGCATTGAGCTGTCTAAAGATATTCCCATCTTGCAGAGCCTGCTCCAAATCTCCACTATTCCCCATTCTTTATCACTTAAAAAAACCCTAAAACCAACCTCACAAGTTCAATTCGAAACCAGAGTCGCCATTTCTGAGCTTACTCTGTTAACCATCGTCTTCTTCCTCCTCCTCTTCAGAAACAAAGATCAACATGGGCCAACATTTAAAAACATGGGCTGAAATATAAACTAATGGGCCTTTACTATTTTAGTGTGCTCATGTGCATAACACGTGGCGTAACGGTCTCAAAGAAAATTTGAATTCGTACCTGAGCGGCGCTTATAGATTAATTTCCATAATAGTTTTAATTTTTGCCTTTCTAGTTTTTTATTATTATTGACCTCTCAAAAAACAAAAGCCCCTTCTCTTTCTCTCTCCCTTCAAAATTTGAATTCTCAAAAATCGCATTTCCTGAGAATTTTCTGCTCGAAAATTACCCAGCTCCTCCGTTTCTGAATTGGATCTACATTTTCTTGGTGTTGATTGAGGTTTTTGTTTCCGTAACCAGGGGTTTTCTGGGTTTCTGCGCTAAAACCGCGGCGGAGATGGAGAGCACAGAGTGCGTTAGGGTTGCCGTTAACATCCGTCCGTTGATTACACCGGAGCTTTTGAACGGATGCACCGATTGCATCACCGTTGCTCCAAATGAGCCACAGGTAAATTCAATTGGAAGTGTTTTTCGTTTGTTTTTTTTTTTTTTTTGCGTTTGATTTCTCCCTCTTTTCTGAGAGTTCTTCATTTGTGATAAGATATAGGTTTTAATCTGTGGGATTGATTATTGGTTTATGAGATTCGGATTTTGAAAAGGCTGCAATATTTGGGATTGATTTTCACATAGAGCCGATTTGATTCAATTCGGGAAATCAATTGATGTGTGAATGGGAAATTATATTATTATTTTTTTGCTCAAAGGGGTTGTGAAATGTTTTATAAAGATACCAACTTTGACATCAGCTTATTCGTTTTCTTCTTAAATGAACAGGTTCATATTGGTTCGCATACTTTTACTTATGATTTCGTTTACGGAAATGCTGGCTACCCGTGTTCGGAGATTTACAATCACTGTGTTGCTCCACTTGTGGATGCATTGTTTAAAGGTTACAATGCCACTGTTCTAGCTTATGGCCAGGTTTGATTTGAGATTCTCTAAACTCTGCAATTCCTTATAGCTACTTGATGTTTTTTGGTTTTATCCATCAAATTCATTGTTTGTTGTTATTGAAGACTGGTTCAGGTAAAACCTACACCATGGGTACTAATTATAGTGGAGATAGCACAAATGGTGGCATTATACCAAATGTTATGGAGGATATATTTAGAAGAGTGGAGACAACCAAAGATTCATCCGAACTATTGATACGAGTGTCTTTTATTGAGGTAAAAACAGCTTCTGTGTTTGTTTTTTGAGATCTGATTTGTAAAATTTCAGTGCTGATTTTTACCTTTTAATGCAGATTTTTAAGGAAGAAGTTTTCGATTTGCTGGACTCAAATTCTTCGGCCCTCCTTAAAAATGACAGTGGCGTTCAAGCAAAGCACACTGCACTCTCACGAGCTCCAATTCAAATAAGAGAAACTGCCAGTGGAGGAATAACATTGGCTGGAGTTACTGAAGCAGAAGTCAAGACGAAAGAGGAGATGGGCTCGTATCTAGCACGAGGCTCTTTGTGTCGAGCTACTGGCAGCACAAACATGAATAGCCAATCAAGGTGAATTTGTAGTTTGAAATGCACTTTTATTCATTCCGTTTTCTTTATAATTACTTAAATACTTGATAGAACTAATGTGGCTGATCCATTAGTAGAGTTATGAATGCTTCTGAATCAAGAGAAAATTTCATTATTAGAACATATTATATGACCAATATTAAAAAAGTATAGTTTTTACAAGTATACTAATGTAATGTTTGTTTCTTGCTTTTTTAGTCGGTCCCATGCAATCTTCACAATCACTCTGGAACAAAAGAAGATTGCCAGTGGTTCTTGCACAACAACTGAAGATGGAGGTGAAGATATATTATGTGCAAAGCTTCATTTGGTTGACCTAGCGGGGTCAGAACGTGCAAAACGAACAGGAGCTGATGGAATGCGTTTGAAAGAAGGTTATCTCATGTTTATCTTGAGCTGTATAAAGTTGTATAACTATTCTTTCTGGTTTCTTAAAAGAGACTATGGATAAACTATAAGATTTATTTCCTCAATATTTACACAGGTATTCACATCAACAAAGGTCTATTAGCTCTTGGAAATGTAATAAGTGCACTTGGAGATGAGAAAAAGAGAAAGGAAGGAGGTCACGTTCCTTATCGTGACAGCAAGTTAACTCGTTTGCTCCAGGTATCAAGGTTTCCTATGTTTCTGTTTATTCACATAAACACCTTTTCAATTGAACTATACGCCCTTGTAAATATATGGTTTTGAAGAAGAAAAGCTAATGGTAATAATCTGTTTTTTAGGATTCTCTTGGTGGCAATAGCAAAACTGTGATGATTGGTATGGTTTTTCATCTATTAGCTTTTTCAAACATTTAATTTTTGATCCAAGTATTAGACAGAACTGTTTTCATCCATCTATTAGATCACATAATTTATGATCTCTGAATGTTGCAGCTTGTGTAAGTCCAGCTGATACTAATGCTGAGGAAACTTTAAATACACTCAAATACGCAAATCGTGCTCGCAATATTCAAAACAAAGCAGTGGTACGTATATGTTAGTTCTTGCTTTTAACTATAAATTCTCAATTATAGATATCATTTTTGGCCTAACCTACCTGTCATTTCTTCTAATACTTAGATCAATCGAGACCCAGCAACCGCACAAATGCAAAGAATGCGGAGCCAAATTGAGCAACTGCAAACAGAACTTTTGTTCTATCGGGGTGATAGTGGTGCTTTTGATGAGCTCCAGGTATTCAATCTGATCTGAGACAAACAATAACTGTTTATGCTAGTTACATTTTCTTATACTTAACTATTATAAAACCTGTTAGATTCTCAAGCATAAGATATCCCTGCTTGAGGCAAGCAATCGTGAGCTACAAAATGAACTTCAAGAACGGAGAGTAGCTTCTGAGCATTTCTCAAAGCGTGCTTATGATGCTCAGGTTTTTCTTCTACTCATTGTTTTTTATGGATCAAACTTTTATGGCATCTAGTACTTTACACTTTTGTTTTCATCTATTTTAGGTTGAAAAGGACAAACTTATAATGATAATTGAATCTGTTCGTAATGGTAAAACCTTGGATGAGATTGAATCCTGCCAAAATGAGGTGAGATATCCTTTGTGATTCCTTAGTTGAAGTCTATGACCAAGTGGATTTTTTCGCTGAATTGTCTAATTTTCCAGGATGTTGGTTTGGTGAAGAAGTATGTTTCGAAAATTCAAGAGCTAGAAGGAGAACTGTTGCATATCAAAAGCTTGAAGAAAACCAGTAACCACCAATATTCGGATGATAACTATGACGATGGGCCTCGTTCGAATAATGTCTTGTTTCCCTCATCTAATGAGTCGTCGGATTGTGAAGACAAAGTGATTGATGTCACCGGTTGGTACCTTTACTGTTGTTTTAGCATTTTTTTTGCTTGCCTTGCAGAAAGAAGCTGAACCCTTCAATATTTAGATGCTAAAACATAAATTGTTTGTCTAGCAGATTGTTAGGCTGAATTTTTTTTCCCTATGAGAGAATTTTCTCAATAAGAACTTTGTTTGAGTAGCTTAAACTTGTATGCAGATGAACTTGAATTTCAAGAAAAGGAGATTGAACATTCCTCACTTCAAGAAAAGTTGGATATGGAGCTAAAGGAATTGGATAAGAGACTTGAAGAAAAGGAGGTACTGTTCTCAATTTTGGAGTGCTCTCCTTTCTAGTCTTTCATCTGTTTCCTTAAGATAGTATGCGTATAAACTTCAATTTTTCATGAAGGCTGAAATGAAGCGCTTTTCAAGTGGTGGTACATCTGTTCTCAAACAACACTATGAGAAAAAAGTTCATGACCTAGAACAGGAAAAAAGAGCACTACAGGTCGGTATTCTGTGGTTAATATTGTATTTGAGTGGAATTGATGGACCAATATTTGACTAAATCAAACTTGCATGCAGAGAGAAATCGAAGGATTGAGACAGAACCTTGCTAGCATACCATCTGGCCCAGGAGATGGTGCCCAGAAACTGAAGGAAGAGTATGTTCAGAAACTGAACACGCTTGAAACACAGGTAACTCCCGTTTTATTTATTAGTTATACTCGTCTTTCACATATAATTTTCCTAATTTATTGTATTTTGTTTCTTTAGGTTTCTATTTTGAAGAAGAAACAAGATGCACAAGCTCAGCTTATGAGACAAAAGCAGAAAAGTGACGATGCGGCAATAAAATTGCAGGATGAAATACACAGAATTAAGTCCCAGAAGGTGTTTTATTTTTTGCAGTGATCTCTATTCGAGACTCTCTACATATCTGTTCCTTGCATGTATGTCTTACCTATGCTAATCTGATTTGATTCTACTTTTCAGGTGCAATTACAGCAAAAGATTAAGCAGGAGTCAGAGCAGTTCAGGGCTTGGAAGGCTTCAAGAGAGAAGGAAGTTATGCAGGTATATTTGACTTTTCAGTTTGTAGCCAATTAAGATTCTTCTTGAGCTTACTTGATTTTATTGATTGATTAGTATGCTATGTCCTGCTCCACTACTGAACTACTTAGACAAGTGTCATTTTCTGTCATTAGTCACCTACTCACCTGTAGTATATGACCAGTATTTGTAAATACTTTTGACTTGAAGGTCTCGAACTTAAACTAGTTCTAAAGACATTTGGACTTAATTTTCAGAAATCTATTTTGTATTGAACCATTCATTATATTGTATCTTAACTTTGTCCAGCTCAAAAAAGAGGGAAGGAGAAATGAGTATGAGATGCACAAACTCATGGCTTTGAATCAAAAACAGAAGCTGGTGAGCACATTTTTATAAACTTTCAGACCAGTGGTAACGATCTTTTTTATTATTATGGCTTCTCAAAGTTTGTTTTATCAGGTTTTGCAAAGAAAGACAGAAGAGGCATCTCAGGTGACAAAAAGACTCAAAGAGGTTTTAGATAGTCGAAAGGCGTCCTCACGCGAGACATTGAGTGAGGATTTTTAGTATAACATTATTTAGTATGACCACCTTTGTTTATATGTCTCTACTAACTGTGTATCCTATTATATATGCAGGTGGTGCAAGTGTTAATGGTCCTGGAACTCAGGTAACACCCACCAAACTCTATGAAACCAATGCCGTGTTTTTCCAGTTATTGACTAGGTTTAGTGAGTTTGGTGATTGTTCTGGTTAGTTTGTAAATGCAACTTTTTTATAACTTCAAATGTATTCCATTTGCAGGCATTGATGCAAGCAATTGAGCATGAGATTGAAGTCACTGTTCGGGTGCACGAAGTGCGTTCTGAATACGAGAGGCAAAAGGAAGAGTATGTCTTTCATCAATATTTGTTTCATAACTTATTCATGGCCTGACAAGAAGTTTTTTGTAATTCTTAAAACAATGATTTCTTACTAACCTGTCTCAAATAACACTGACTATAATTCAGGAGGGCAAGAATGGCTAAGGAAGTTGCAAGGCTAAGAGAAGAAAACGAGCTGCTTAAGAATGCCAAAATAAGGTGAGTGATCTGGACTGACAAAGATTTTTCATAAACCAAGACCATTCATAATGAAAAATATCATAAACAATTAGTGTCTTCTCTGACCAAAGCAGCGTTCATGGTGACACCATGTCTCCTGGTGCAAGAAACTCAAGGATTTTTGCTTTGGAGAATATGCTTGCGACCTCGTCCAACACTCTCGTCTCCATGGCATCACAGTTATCTGAAGCAGAAGAACGCGAGCGTGTGTTTGGTGGAAGAGGGAGGTGGAACCAAGTTAGAACACTAGGTGACGCAAAGAGTATCATGAACTATCTGTTCAATTTGGCGTCAACTGCGAGGTAAAATCTCAATTAGTGACTGAAGATTTTTCGTAATATGGTGCTTCTTGAAAAATTCATCTTCAAAATTTGATGCATAACTCATCCTACATTCTTCTTTCCGTCTATTGTTTAACTTTGAAGGTGTCTAGCCCGAGATAAAGAGGCAGACTGCAGAGAAAAGGATGTCCTTATAAGAGACCTGAAAGAAAAAATAGTAAAGTTTAGCAGTTATGTTAGATACATGGAGATCCAAAAAGCAGACCTCGTGCATCAGGTGAAAGCACAGGTTAGTAGAAAACATCTTCTACTCTTGTTTGATTAGATAGTAAATGTCTGAAATTTAGCATATAAAACCATTGGCATTCCATATTGCAGACCTCTGCAATGAAGAAATTGTCCGCAGAGGAGAACCTAAAGAACGAGCATAGTATGAAAAAGCAGGAAACCCGAAACTCGACTATAGTTCTTGAGGATATGGATACCTCTGATTCTGAAGAGTCAGGCCATGAACGGGAAGATCCAGATATTGATGATGAATGGAAACCTGAACATGAATCAGAGCGTGAGTCGGAGCAGGAATCGGTTATAAAGCTAAATAGAAAACGAAACTTCAAAGTGGGAAGACGGCGCTCGAGTGTGGTCATGAGACGTTCATATGAAGAGAATTCGGAAGCAGCTTCAGATGATGCAGTGAAATCTGACGTGTGTTGTTGCACTTGCAGCAAGAGCTCCTCGTGCAAGACAATGAAGTGTCAGTGTCGAGCTACAAAGGGATCTTGTGGTCCGTCATGTGGATGTTCTTCAGTGAAATGCTCCAACAGAAACGCAGACGGAAAGGAGAACAATTCCATCTCAGAATCAGAGGCCTTGGAAAACGGGGAGAACTCGCAAGAATCTGATGAAAAGGACAAAGACCAACAACAACAAGTCCTTGCTTCACGTGGAGCTATGCTGCTACAGAACGCTCTTGCTGACAAGCCAGGGGAGGAGACAAATGAGGATGGAGGAACAAGAAGAAGAAGAAAACCTCTATCAGATATAGGAAACACGACGGTAAAACTCTCTTAAGTTTCTATTGGTCATTTCAACATATCTGTGTTCATGTAGCTAAGAAACAACAGCTTTCTGATTTGATGAAATTGGTTTCAGGGTAAATCGAATGTGCCAAGGCCAAGCCAAAGAAAGAAATGGAAGAAGACTGTGCTTCAGCTTGTTCCTGTAGGTCCACCAGCACTACCAACACCACCAGCTTCATCTCAGGAGGAAGCTAATCCGGTGACTTTGGACTCGGAAGCAGCAAGAATGCCAGAAAACAGCGAGTCAGGAGAGTCTAATAGCATCAAACTGAAGCTACCAAGGGCAATGAGGTCAGCGTCTTCAAATGGCAGCAACTTGCTGAGAGAAAGAAACGCTGATCAAACCGGAGGTGAATCAGTCGGTAATGGTGGTTTTGTGCAGAGCAATTCAGGTAGGGCAAGTGGAAGTAGAACTTCAGATGAAAAGGAGAACCACACTCGTCGGATCTAAAATGGAAACAGAGACGTCGCTTGAGGTGCAAGAAAGATGGGTTTGAAATCTTTTCAAGGGTTTGTCTTCTTCTTCTTTTTTGTGATTGAGAACATAACAAACGTAATTTTAGGGTTGTGAATTCAGGTTACTGTTGTGAATCCTTTCAGACAGGTACAATTGTTAAAGTTTGATTAAGATTTGACTGTTTGATCAACTTCCTTCTCTGTTCAATATGAGCGAGTTTTTTTTACTCTTCTGCGTAATAAAGTGTCTCATTCAATAAACACATAAATTAACGAGAGTATATACGTAATCAGCCAAGATACACGTAAACACACGAATTTAATAATATGGAATGGTAGTCTTAATTATCGTCTCCAGTGGTGATAGAGATTGCTTACTATTTTACTAACCATCTATATTTTTTATACATCATGACTAATTTAGAAATATAATTTCACTTTTGATTTGAGTTTTTAATCCAATAACTATAATATAACGTTGAAAACAAAATGTATGGTTAACTGACAATTGTGTATTTCGATTTTCGACTGATAATCAGTCACCAATAATAATAATTCGTTGGGACTAGAATCACTTGACTTTTAAATTGATATATATGGTTGTTAGGACCAATATCCAACAACCAAAGTTTAATATAGAGAAGTAAAATAATAAAAAGATTTTCGCCGACACATTATTTCGTTAGTGACATTGAATATTTCAATGACATCAACTCTGTTTTTTCATCTATATAATATTCTCTCCGTTTCACAAAATAGTGTCATTTTGACACATTTCACACAAATTAAGAAAACATTAAATTATACATATATACCCCTATTTAATAAGTGATTAGTGACTTAAATTCAATGAGAAGTAGCTTTAAGTTAAGGGTAAATAAGGAAATTTTGTGTAAATGTGATTGAAAATGTAGAATGACACTCTTTGTGAAACTTTGTGAAACAAAAATCAAACTCTAAAATGACACTCTTTGTGAAACAGAGAGAGTATAATATCATTTACGCAAATAAGAAACTAGTTTTTTTTTTACTCATTTTCCCTAAATGTAAAATCCTATAATAACCACAACACAAAATGTTCATTCTCTCTTTTGGCAATAAAAATTATTTGCTTTATAAATTCGTATAGAAAACACAAGTAATATATTATCCAAAATAAATGAATAATTAAAAAATCTGTCCATATATTTTCTCTCCACCGACAGACGAAAACACTGTCAATGGCCCACGTTCCTCTAAAAGCTGTCGTCTTCGGTAATATTTTCCGGTAATAAACTAACTTCCGATCAAAATTACACAAAAGCCCCTTTCTCGTTTATAATTATAGCAAACTTACAGAGTTGGTTATTAAGAAATTAAAAATACAGAGTCCTTAATATTTTTTTCTGTTCCTACATTTAACAATTCATCGAACAACAATTACTTCAACATAAGAAGCAAGACAAGAATCAATGTTCTTATTAAAAAGACACGCTAATGTTCCTTTACTCGGAAAAAATCAAATCACTAACACTAAATGATAGAAGGGTATAATGGTCAAATCAACGTTCCCGGCTCAAATTTTACTAAAAACAGCCACTAGCCAGCCAGATCCCAAAAATTTCTCATTGCTTCTCTCGTTCGTGTATTTCGCCCAAAGCTAAAATAAAATCTTGGTGCTATCTCTATAAGTCCACTCCTCCTTCAAGCAAAGCATCTTCCTCTTCTTCTTCTTCTCACTCTGAGATTGTTGTTTAATCTTAAACCAGACCCATCTAAGGGATCTGGAACAAACTTCGTCTCTGGTTCCACTCTGATCATCAGAGAATTAAAAATGGAGTCTTTCTTCTCCAGATCCACATCCATCGTCTCCAAATTGAGTTTCTTGGTCTTATGCATCGTGTTCTTGATTTCTTCATCTTCTTTTACTTCGACAGGTTACTTCTTTTTCCCATTATCACAATAACTCTGCTTCTTGGTTCTGTTTCTTTGTCTCAGAGCTTTTTCAACTTTCAATCTTGCTTCTTGATTGGGATTTCACTTCTCAGAGTTTAAGATCGTGAAATTGTTCATTTCTTAAAATGAGACTTTGTTTTTGCATCTGGGTATCTTCAATTTTAACTGATTTGTTTGTTGATATTGATAAAGAGATCTGATAATATGAATTGTGTATTGTTTGGTGTGGCAATTCATGATCTGCATTTTTTTTTTAACTCTTTTATAGATCTTTCCTCAATTAGTGAAATGATAATTGCTGTTCAAGTCTTTTGCAGAGTTCAGATCCTTAAATCAATACTTCAATTTCCATATTAGTGCTTCATATGTAGATCAGTGGATTTTGCTTATATAAGGAAAAACCAAAGTTTCAAGTTTTCTGATCTAAAATTAGTAACTTTCTGATATTTTCTATAAGTAGAAAACTTGATGCACACTTGTGAGTTATATGCAGTTAACACTTTGGTCTATTTCTACTAACCAATAATTAGTAGTTTTAAGATTGAAGCAATCACAATGTCGGTGAGCAAAGCTGGATCAGGATTAACAAAGTTCTGACTTTTGTAAATCCTTTTGCAGAAGCATATGATGCGCTTGATCCAGAAGGCAACATTACAATGAAATGGGATGTCATGAGCTGGACTCCTGATGGCTATGTTGTAAGTTCAAGAACCAGAAGTAGAAAAGACTAGGCCTTATTTACCGGTTTTCGATTCATCTAACCTGTTTTTGTAATCGATCTAGGCCGTGGTTACGATGTTCAACTTCCAGAAATACAGACACATTCAATCTCCGGGATGGACATTAGGCTGGAAATGGGCAAAGAAGGAAGTTATTTGGAGTATGGTTGGAGCACAAACAACTGAACAAGGTAACTGAAGGTTTCAGGTTCCCTTAATTTATGTTTTGGTTGCGAATTATCGGGATATGAATTATCGACAAAATGTTTTACAGGTGATTGTTCAAAGTACAAAGGAAACATACCGCATTGTTGTAAGAAAGATCCAACAGTTGTAGACTTGCTTCCTGGGACTCCTTATAACCAGCAGATTGCCAATTGCTGCAAAGGTGGTGTCATGAACTCATGGGTACAAGACCCTGCCACTGCGGCTAGCTCCTTCCAGATCAGTGTTGGCGCGGCTGGAACCACAAACAAAACCGTTAGGGTGCCAAGAAACTTCACTCTCATGGGACCTGGTCCAGGCTACACTTGTGGTCCAGCAAAGATTGTTAGACCAACAAAATTTGTCACGACCGACACACGGAGAACCACTCAAGCTATGAGTAAGAACTAAGACTGCAATTGGACTCTTTGCAACCGTAATGTTAACATTGTTTCTAATCCAACAGGCCGGTTAAATGTTTCTTTTTTGAATTATTGCAGTGACATGGAACATTACGTGCACATACTCGCAGTTCCTTGCTCAAAGAACTCCAACTTGCTGCGTTTCTTTATCTTCTTTCTACAATGAAACTATTGTCGGATGTCCAACTTGTGCTTGCGGATGCCAAAACAACAAAACTGAATCCGGTGCCTGCCTCGAGTAAGTAATTCAAATCAATATTCAATTCCAGCCTTCTGTGTTCTCTGTTTAATTTCCAATCATAAAGTCTCAAACTTTTTCTGTAATGCAGCCCGGACACACCACACTTAGCCTCGGTTGTGTCACCTCCAACAAAGAAAGGCACGGTATTACCGCCATTAGTGCAGTGCACGAGACACATGTGCCCGATCAGAGTGCATTGGCACGTAAAGCAGAACTACAAAGAGTATTGGCGAGTGAAGATCACAATCACAAACTTCAACTATCGATTGAACTATACACAATGGAACCTCGTTGCTCAACATCCAAATCTCGACAACATCACTCAAATCTTCAGCTTCAACTACAAATCTCTCACTCCTTACGCTGGATTAAGTAAGTACACACACACACCCACACAATGACACAAAGCCCCTCTCTTCTCTCTCTGCTTATCTCAAAGATATATCCTTTTGATTTTGGTATTTGCAGACGATACCGCGATGTTATGGGGAGTGAAGTTTTACAACGATTTCTTATCAGAAGCAGGTCCTCTTGGGAATGTTCAATCAGAGATTTTGTTCCGTAAAGATCAATCAACCTTCACATTCGAGAAAGGTTGGGCTTTTCCTCGAAGGATTTACTTTAATGGAGACAACTGCGTCATGCCTCCTCCTGACTCTTACCCTTTTCTTCCCAACGGTGGTTTCCGGCCACAATTCTCATTCTTCGCCGCCGTGCTCCTCCCTGTTCTGATCTTTTTCTTCTTCTCTGCCTAATCTCGGATTTACGGTTTTGCCACTGGTATGGTTAGGGTTCTACGGTTGAGTGGTATAAACGTTATTTATGATTCTTTCGTGTCCCACAAATTATAATCTTTTGATACGTATTTCTTTCAATATACATAGTTTTCAACTTCGTTGTCTTTTTCTTTTTTATTTTTCATTTTTCATTTTATATCCTTGTATTCCGGAATATTGTTGGTCTGTCGTTGTAGTATATCGGAAAAAAAAGGATCATAATGTTAGATATTGTAAACGTTTTTTCTTTCCTACTGTTATATATTTTACTTTATGATACTGACTACCGTGATTTAATAGATAAAGAAAATGAATCGGAAAACCCTCAATTTCGTTATTTTGTAACGCATTGGGGAAAATCTCAATCGTATAAGAATTTACCGGAAAAAATAAGAAAATCAGTGTTATTTTAGTAAGTTAAACATAGGCCTGATCTTTTTGGGGACATCTTACTAAACACATTCTTAATGGACTTCAAATCAACTAGGCCCAGTTTCCTCCTAAAAATGAGTCAACAGACACAACAAGAAATACTGATTTTGTCACATTTACATTTTGTATTTTAGCTAGTCTTGACTCTTGAGTCTAGCTAGAAATATTATTCTTGTTTCTATAAAATTGTTATTTGAAATGCAACTTTTTAAAGAAAAAATTAGGTGTGCCTTTCAAAATATAATTATTGGATTGGGAATATATATTGGGTATCAATATCATTAAAGGAAAAAATAGAAAGAGATAATGGACTCGTAAAATGGAACATTGATTAGTTGTGTGGCAGAGAATCTCATCCAAAATGAGACAAAGTGAGAAGTTGCTTTAGAAAAGTTTGTGTGCGTTGTCGATTCCATATTTGCATATAAACCCTAATATTACCAACCCTCCATAAAAGTAAACAAAGCAAGAAATATCAATACTATGTAATCTTAGATTATTAAAATTCCTTCTTTGCAATATCATGTTT